TGTAGCAGTGCAAAAACGCTCAGTGTCGGAGTTTACGCAGGAGCAAACCGTATTCTTTTATGGATCTTATTTGACTTTAAAATACGCAAGTAATTGTTACTATTTGCGTACGTACCCACTAAACATCCTTACTGGCTTATGAGTTTGAGGATGAATAGGTCTCCCGAAGTCGTCATAGATTACTATTTCTCCTTTCAGTTCCTTCTCAAAGTAACTGTCTATTTTCGTTGAAGTCACCAATTCAGACAGGCCCCAGTTCCCAATTCTGACAAAGTACAGACCCAACACAGCTTTACATAGCCCTGCGTGAGAGACATATTAAATAATCAACATACCTACAATCAAGTCCAGACCCCTGTCTGGAAATATACTAAAATTCAGAAATACAAATAGAAAGCTTCAATAATTCTGTTTACCCAAAACAACCAAAAAGAGGATAACTCCAGTGGCCGAAGACCAAGCGTCTAGTATAACACTGTCCAGGTATATAGTGGAGCGAGAGCGACGTGTGTGTTCTAGATTAGTAAGACCAGCCGCCGCTTGGCGCGTTTCTGTCATTTCACGGCATAGTAATTTTGGATCCTCGCCTGAACAGAAAATAAAGGCAGACTTAGTTTAATTTCTGCACCATTGTGTAAATTCGAATTCTTGGTGTAATAAGGTCACATCTGCAAAATGACAACTTTTCAGGAGAGAATTATGATCGAAATTAGTCAACTTTTTTATGCTTAAATAGGAGAGTCTCATATTATATAATTTGTTTCATGTAGTTCGTTATTAGTTCGTATTAATTTTATGACTCGTGCGAACGAATTTTAAAAGAGGTCAAACACGAGAGTAAATAAAGCTAACGGATGTATGCAAATTCCGTTTTTATTTTTAAAGATCTTAGTGTTAAGCAAGAAATCAATAATACATTGTTTTATACTTCAAAGAGGTGAAAAAATATCTCACTCAAGCAAACACAGTCACAATGAAATACACAGAAACAACGGTCGCCTTTTTTAACGGCTACGTCTCGTACTGCTACAGTTTCATCTTCATCGTTCACTAGAGCCACTGAAAAAGGTGATTTCCTTAGGAATTATCTCTCTCATATAAAATAACTAACAGTTTTAAATGTATTTTCAATAAAGTAACAGAAGGGAACGACGTAAATACTAACCAGAACAGTGCGCGATATCCACAGGAAACTCTACTGCTAATTCGAGACGAAGGTTTTGCGTATGCTGTGGAGGTAAAAGGATAGGTCCAGATGTTGCGCCTTCGTTATTCTTCTCATTGATCAATTCTGTCAATTCTGGACCACAGTCACGAACCATGGCTCTACGTAAAAAGGAATACATACTGGGTCAGTAAACAAAATCAATGACCATCAAAACATTATGTTAAATTATATTTTATAAAAAGTGCGTACCTGAAACCTGCGGAAGCTAGTCCTGTGTTTGTAGCTTGCACAGTTAGAACGGCCCGTGTTTTTCGTGTGTGATCTGATACAATTGTTGACAGTCGCCCAGAGGACCTACAAGATTATCAACATACAAGAAGCAGGCGAGGTAATGCGAGTTATTTTATCTCCGTACGCGATAGGGAATGAACATTTTGTAAGTTTTGAAATTGCTGTAAGAACTAATATAATTTCTCCTGATAAATATAGGCACACACATTTCATAGAACAGATTCAATAAATTCCAAATCAAGTTACAACGAATGCCAGCAATTAACAATAGCCATTTTAAGCTCACTTCGAACACATGGATTGCCTTCGTTCGAAATACTTAATAGTTATTAAAGTTTAATATGCGCAAGAAACAGCTGACTACAACCCGAATATCATTCCCCTTCGGAACCATCGATCGACATTCCCGATCGGTCCACTTTCACTACGCATCTATTTTACCAAACAGTAAACTACAAAGAGCGTGCGAAACAAATGCAAGTTGTCCTTTTTTGTTTCGTAATCCGTCTAATTGTCCACTCAACTCATATCGATTTCTTGATTTAACAAAAAGAAATAAAAAACAAACTGTCAGTTTTTTCATTGCAATTCTAAACCACATTACCAGCCATTGGTATTGTAGCGAAAATCGGACCCATGCACAAAGCTAAAACCACCTAGGAACGACTTTACCGCCCAGGAAGAATGACTATCCTCCCAAAAAACAACCTTAAGCTTCAGGTTTATACTGTACAGGTATATATATGTATATGGCAACCATGCAGTTAAAAATCTCATGAGCTGTGTGTACCTCTAAGAGTGGCACTGGAACACCCCGTCTGCATAGTTCTTCTATTATTATTAATTTGGCTTTCCAAGGTAGCCCTACATCACTACCTACAGTCAGTGATTTGATCTATTGTGATCTTCAATAATTACCTACACTGCGAAATCTGGACCAGCGTTTCCCAAAGTGGGCGATAACGCCCCCTTGTGAAAAAAAATGTGTGTAACGCCTCCTTGTGACCCAGAAAAAAAAATGGGGGCGTTGTGTAGAGGTTTAGGGGGAGATTTGTAATTTCATCTAGGAAGTCTCTTAGGGTCGTATTCCAGCACTCTAGTCAATACTCAAGTCAGGACTTGAGTATTGCAGTGAGCATTGAAAATCATACTCAAGTCCTTGCCATTAGGGTCGTATTTCCAGTGCTTGAAATCATACTCAAGTCTGCTCAAGTCCTGACTTGAGCATTGAGTAGAGTTCTGGAATACGACCCATAGACACCGACTGAGCTCTCGACTCTCGACTACAACTTGTGAACATCAACTAATATTCATTAAGAGATTGCTCAAACTAACTCGGTTCGATATTTCTCTCCGTGTAGTTCATATATCTGTCCTGTTTTATTGAATAAATAAAATAAAAGTCGTGTCAATCTGTCGCTCCGTTTCGAAATGCAAGTAGACACAAACAAACAAATAAGGCAACAAAAAAATAAAAAGGCAACAGACCCAGTTTCGCATTTTAATAGTTATTAGTATTCCTAGGTAGGTAATTTTCGAAGATAATAGACCGCGGGCAATCATGTTTTAACAGGTTTTTGTTAGATAACCCGATTTGTGCATTCGTCTATCAATCGGCTGGTTCATAGAATACTTGTTCTTACTTGTTGAGTACGATTGAGCATCGAACGGGATAAACGAGTTTATGCATGTTTGCCTTATTCCTGTCGGTGCGTGCTGCTTATGCAATCCTATATAAACAACGTAATATTTATTTTATTTTATTTTGCGGTTTCGCGCGTAATAGATAAGCAGTAATTAAGTTCAACACTTACTTACGTATTTCTCAAAACAAAACAATGTCGGTAGTAAAAAAGAAGAGACGGCAATACTGTGCGGAATATATTGAATTCGGATTCATTGAAAATCCCACAAACCCATCGACGCCTTTGTGCCTTCTATGTCTAAAAACATTTTCGAATGAAGCAATGAAGCCTTGCAGTCTTTGCAAGATCATTTGAATAAAATGCATCCAGATAAAGACAAGAATGTAGCATATTTTCAAGACCTAGAGAAGAAGCATAATACTCAGCCAAGTGCAGCAAAACTCTTTTCGGCGGCTGCTAAGCAAGATGACGACGGACTTCGAGCTTCGTACAATATCTCCTTGTTAATTGCTCAAAATTTGCTACAAATTTAGAGACCGATACAAAAGGCGAAACCATATTCAATACATTGGAAAAGTTTTGTGATGAGATAGAGATTCCCTTCAAAAATATTATATCAGTTGCTACGGATGGCGCTCCGGTTATGACAGGGTGCCATAAAGGCTTCATAGCGTACTTAAAAAATAAAATTCCAGATGTCCTTGCTGTACATTGCGTTATTCATAGACAACATTTGGTTGCTAGAAATTTAAGTGAACGACTATTTCAATCACTGCAATGTCATCAACGTAGTCAATAAAATCCGTAACAGCTCTTTGAATGATAGATTATTTCATCAGCTTTGTGTTACTGATGACGAAGATTTCAATCGTTTGTTGTTTCATACTGAAGTTCGTTGGCCATCAAGAGGCAATTGTCTGACTCGATTTTACAACCTGTTTGACTCTGTGATAGAGTTCTTCGAAATTAAAGATACAGAATTGCGCTCCAAGTTCATTACAACAAAGAATGATATAGCTTACGTGACAGACCTGTATAAATTGTTCAACGACATAAATCTCCAACTGCAAGGCGATGAACTAAATTTAATTAAAACAAAAAATGTCGTTGCTGCTTTCGCACCCAAACTGATTTTACATAAAAAGAATATGGGCAGACGTGAGTTTCACAATTTTCCGAATTTATCAGTATGCTGCAGTAACGACGACTTGTTTGCCTACTGCCAACATTTGGAAAACCTCCACATTGACTTCACCGAACGATATCAGGACATTTTGAACTTGGAATACCAGTCAACACAGCAATATCACCTCACCTGGAAGAAGAACTTAGATAATTGACAACGAATGAGGAAATAAAAATCAAGTTCAAAAATGGCTACCAAGAATTTTGGCTACAAAACCGATCCCACAATTGTACCCTGGATTGTGGTCAATCGTTCAACGATTCTTGCTAGGATTCCCATCGTTATATTTGTGTGAACGTGGTTTTAGTGCTGTGACAACGCTGCTTACTAAAAAGAGAAATCGTTTGCATATTACCGGACGTGGTGACTTGCGGCTGTTGTTGAGTAAATTAGAACCTGATATCAACAAACTTATTAAACAGCATCAGATTCATCCTTCACATTAGTTTTTTATATTAGAATCGATTATGTTTGTTTTATTTTGAATAAAAGATACTCTGTCTGAATACTATAAAGTTGGGTTTCAATAATCATTCTCATTGGCAGGTGTAGCCTGTAAGAGTTAACTTGACACCTGGGGGCCGTTGTGTACTACCTACTGCGCTCAGATCTCAAGTTAACTCTTGCGGGTAAAAGTCTCGTTTAGAATGAATGTTTAATCTCCGCTAATACAGCTCACAATAATTAATTGAATTTGAAGTTATAGTGGTTTAAAGGTAGGTGAAAAAATGGGGGCGCTAAAAAATAATTTATTCTCAAAGTGGGCAGTAGATAAAATAAGTTTGGGAACCCCTGGTCTAGACCAATAGAATTACCACAACTGTAGAATTTCTTAAGCCTTGATTTCTTTAAATAATATATAATACGCAATTATATTATTATATATTATTTATTTTTCAATTTTTTATAGATAAAGATCTTAACCACCGATCAGCTAGTACTTACCCGACCCGAATGAGTTGATTGTCATCAGCTCGAATTTCCACATCGATCTGTGCGCGATGAGTCCTTTGATGCGGCAAGGTTAAGAACCTCTCTGATCCATGGTTAGCTATGTTGAAATTGTCTATATTGCTTCCAATTAAAGCTCTTGACACTCTTACTTGAACTTTGCGAAAGCGCTACAATTTATAAATAAAGTTTGATGGTCCGAGTATTTGTATTTACCTATATTTCGGCTTACACTATAACAGTGAAAACCGAAAATCGGGTAAATGAAGCACAGCACGCCTTTTATAGGTACCTAAAATGTGTCAATAAACAACATCTTGTTGTGTGTTCATTGGAGCGTGCTTTTTAAGCCTTATTGTACGATTTTGAATGTTGGGAATGGCAGAAGAATGATAGTAATAACGTGAATGCTGCAGAAATGAGAACCTTGCACAATATGTTAGTTAATTATTCTGAGAGACAACAGAATGATGAACAGTGTGACATGGTGTGGTAGGTGATATAGTGATTAAGATAGAAAGGGGAATGCTTCGGTGGTTTGGACATACCGAAAGAATGGATGTTAGTAGAGTAACAATAGCACAAAATAAGGCGTATCTAGACGGAACCATGGGAAAATATTGTGCCAATAGAGATATCCCAACAATATTATGTATATAGTCGAATCGCAAAAAGCCTCAAAAAGACCAGGTCGTAAGCACCAACAATAAAAGAAGGTGTATGAAAAGACTGACGCGGTTGAAAGAAGGTACAGTGATATATCAGAAACGCAGCATGTACATACAGGTACGTAGTCTCTACCTATGTAAGTAGTAATAACTATTTAAAGATCATAGTGAAAGTTTACATGGACAGATTTAAGGACATCCTACGTTTGGTTACATACGTCTTTATACCCTTCAAAATTCAATGTAGAGTCAGTGGCGTTAGGGTTTCGTTTAAATATATTTACAGCATCTTCCACTCCAATAACATCTTCTATGGGCACTACTATGTATTTGTCGCTATAATCTGTAAGAAAAGATCGTTTCACAATATATTGTTACTTTGTGGTGTATTATTTTTACTTTAGTATTGTTACCATATTTTGTACTATCAGCATCCGCAGTAAAATTTGAATCTGAACCGAACAATGGTTCTAAGAGACATAAACTAGTTTTAGGCAAAGTGAATTCGTCCCTTCCAACATATTCGGCAGGCCGGTAATGCAAATGTATGCCTTTTGTTTTCCATTCGGGATTCGAGGTGCTAATACTGAAATTGTTTAATGAAAATATATAAAAGGCCAATAACTCGTCTTATTCATTTATGATGGATAATATTGTAGAAGTTACCTTGCAAGTTGACCGTTAGTTAAATCATTCCAAACTGTTTTACCATCGGGAGTACTAAGTTTCTCAAAAAGTTGCACTTGCACATTATACCAAACATTAGGATTACCGATTTCATATAGCGCGAATACTCGTTCAGGGTAGTCGAAATATAATTCTTCATCGAAAGCATTTTTAGGGCGTCTTCGTTGATCGTGTTCACTTTCTTGTTTGTCATTTGGCATTTTTGTAAAAGTAATTTTTTCTTTATTACCTTGGCGATAATTAGATGTTCTGTTTTTATTTTTATAATGACGTACACCAGTCTTTTTTTCTTTGTTTCTTAATAGCCTGTCGTTTGGCCGAGATTTTTCAGAGGAAGCATCGTCACTAAGTTCAGTATTGTCATCCCGGTGATGATCTTTTATTACGCGTTTTTTAATGTGTTGTGGGTCTTCAATAATAATATTTGGCTCGTGACGTTTTTTTCTAGTTAATGTATCATTATCGTTGAAACAAACTTCGTAAGCTGAAATTAAGACGATGTTCCAGTGGATATTTAGGCTATAATTAATAATTATAAGTAGTACTAGGTAGGCAATACTTATATTGGTTTAACAACATACGTATTTTATACCCTTTTTATTGATAATTGACAAGTCGAGCAAAATTCGCAAAAGAGTTAATGTAAAACTCACTGTATTCTTATCTACATAACAATTCTTAGGGTCCATGAATACGTTCAATAACGTTTAGCCAGCGGAGAGTGGACAGACGAGTTTCGAGGCATTCAACTTCGAGACAGGTACGATTAAACCGGTTTCTCTACAGAGCACTGTATAACACAAGTTGGGAGTAGCGCGCGAGGCGATGCGAGGCAAAGCGAGTTCGGTTAGTGTGCCCGGCCGACGTGCATACTTTTGTTGCAATTCAGTTTAACTAAAATGTACTATGGAAGCATTTATAGAAGGGGTTCGTGCACAACCTTGCCTATGGAATCCTTTGCACCCGGAGTATAGAGAAACACAAGTGAAAGATGAAGCTTGGCAGCATGTTGTTGATCACTTTAAGAACAGCGCGATACCTAACAGTGAGTAATAATATCTTCTGATTGACATAACAAATAGTGGTATTCCGGTTTCCCTATATTATTCACCATTTTTATTACATAATGAAGTTTTTAGAATTAAAAATAATAAATCTAAAAACTTAAATATGTTATATAAATTATTTTTAATTCATATTTAATATTGTTTTTTCATATTAAATATTATTTTTCTTTTTGTGTTGTAAGTATCATTGTTTCATTTTCGAATTTCCTTTTAGTACATGTGGCGAAAACAGAATGGAAAAAGCTTCGTGACAACCACAGGGACGCTTTGAAGAGAGCGAAACTTGGTAAAAACAAATTACTACCAGCTCAAATCACGACATGGAAATATGCTAAAGCGATGCAGTTTCTTGAACCACATATGAAATATCGGATCACGGAAAATATTGAGATGGAGCCTCCTCCAGCAACGAGCTCCAAAAATTCTGAACATGACGTTTCTACCACGAAAAAATCTGATACACCTCCATATAAACGAAAGCTAATTGATCAATCAACAACATACGAGAGTCCGAAGATCCGACACGACATAGACGCACTGGAGTGTTTTTTTAACTGTATATTTCAAAGCACAAGAGAAATGCCACAATGGATGCAAACGCAAGTAAAAAAGAAAATATTCGCTGTAGTCATAGAGGCCGAGGAACTATTGTCTTCACAAGAAGAGATTTCTAAGGAACATAATGTAAATAATAGATTGTCAATAGAAACAAAAATAAAATGTGAAGTTTTTACGGACGACAGCTGTGATAATGTGTATTAGAACTTGCGTAATTAATTAGTTTGGTAATAGTATAAATATCGCTTACAAGGCGCAGATTCGTCCTCAACTAAATTGCCAAGAGAGTAAGCTATTGTGTTTTGCAGCGGACGTTTAACACTGAATAATCTTAAACCTGTAAACGACGTATAAATTTAAGAATTGCACGTTGTTGTTAATAAAAGAAAAGTACGTACGTATCTACCTATAATTGTAAATTAATGTTCACGACCACAGTATCTAATATGTAGTAGTTTCTAAATAATAAGAATAATAATGTTTATTTATAATTCACGTCACGTCACTCATACCGCTGTCGGAACACCTTCCTCCATGATCTACCTTGGCAAACTTGGAAGTCCCTAAATAGGCTGCGGACCCAAGTCGGCCGAAGCAAGTAATGCACGGGTGGGGTTACAGCTCGGAGAGCGCATGTCCGTGTGGTGTCTCTCCCCAGACAATGGCACATCTTTTGTCCTGCCCTGCGTGTCCCTACACCTGTACACGCGAGGACCTGTGCAACGCCACTGATAATGCTACCTCAATCGCTAAGTATTGGTCCTCACAAATATAAACGTCAGAGTCGACACGCCAAAAAAAGGAACTCATAAATTGGTTACAATATTTTTATAAGTCGAAGTATACAATCACAAGATTATCCTGCCTTTTAAACTAGGGGATTCTGTATCTATGATAGAAAACAACTGAAAAAAAACCTATAGGAATTACATAAAATCTGAAGAATAGTCATCTACTTCATTCTATGGATAAGTAAAAGATTATCATACCACAGTCTTTTGATATCATTTGTTTTTCATAACGGGCGGCAGCGACATGATCATAGGGTCTTTCATGGTCAGCTATTTTAATTGAGAAGCTATGTCGTGCGGGCTCGTCGTGCTCTAATGTAAATACAGCTGGTTGACCCCAGTCGTTTAAGGCATATTCTGTGTCCCGCTGTGCGCGAATCTACGATTGGTGCGAGAAGGAACCAGTTGAGTTCGTAAAAAATTTGGTAATACCGTAAGTTAAACATAACATCGTCTGGAAGTGTTTTAAATACATATCTACTTTAATAAGTAATCTACTTTAATAATTTTTATTTTGTCTGGTTTCGTAATTTATTTCACAATAAGCCGATCAGACGCCATTTTCCTTTTCTTGACCGTTGATACCAACATTTATATTCGGAAATTAAATGATAAAACCTGTGACAAAGCAACAATCTTAGCACAAAAAAACAAGCAAGTGTAAAAATGATATTATCCAACTGATACACATTAACAGATAATAAAGGATTATCGGTATCACTAATTAAACTATGGAAGCTAACCAAATTGTTGCCATTTTCTATATCAGCTGAATATTTAACTCTTTCCGATTTCGTCAATATGCAGTTGACAGTCTGAAAATATTTATAAATATTGTTGTAATATTGTTATTGATACAAAGACCGAACAAATACAAAAAAAAACTCCTTCAATCTGACAGGACTCGAACCAGTGTCTGTATCTCTAATCGGGGCTACGGACTTGGTATTTGTTCGGTTTTTGTATTATTAATAATAACAATTTAACTAGTTAAGTATTTTCACCAACAATGTATAAATATGTAGCAAAAACATTATCATGATGTCGATTAATTACAAATAACGTACGTCAAACCTATTCAACTTATATGCCTGGAGCGGCGCCTCTCGGCGCAGGCGCAATATGTAAGGATTGAGCAATCGGACGCGCTTTCTTTCCGGGCCCTCGAGGACGTGGTCAATGGGAATATATTCTTCAGCCGGAGTTTGCTATATAACGTAAAAAGGAAGTCTGTAGTAATGCCGCTAGCCAAAAATTTACTTCCCAACTTCGTTGCTTCGTTGTGAAAAAGTGTAGCGTTGAACACTGATCATGTGTGTTGCAACTCCAACACCTAATAATGATTCGTATATACGTCTCACGGTTACGGGATACGGAGGGAACGTGTTTGAGGTGTTGATGAGTGTTGTTGAGGGAGGATATTTTACTTTACGGAGACATTATTTTTAAAAGTAGATAAATTATACACCATTCAAAGACTTCTCAAAAGTTGCTTGCCTCATTTAGAAATCGAACCGACCAAATGTGAAAAAATAACAACTGTATTTTTCTGATGCTGATCGAAAGGGTTCATTATAAGGATTAATTTCTTACAACATAGTATTTTAAGTAACAGGAACACAGTTCAATCATACAATTTATTAAAAAAGAAACAAACTTGAAACTGTCAGTGATCTACAGTAGTTGCCATCAATTTATCAAATGTTGAGCCATCTTCTTTTTAAAATGTGATGCATCTGTATTTTTTTCACATTTGGTCGGTTGGATTACTGGATTTAAGAATGAAATAATGTTTGTATAAAGCAAAATATCCTATCTACGACATTTAAAACACTATCCCTCTGTATCCCATAGCCGTGAGACGTCCCGCGTATGCGAATTTTATTCATAATTAAGTGTAGGCGTTGCGACCTGATTCATCACATGATCACTGTTAAACGCTAGTTAAAAGCGCACGTCTTTAAACCGGCCCTAACGCTTGTTATTAGTAATTATAATCGGTATTTCGTTAAATACCGAAAATTTCAAATTCTTTATTCAATACCTTACCGGAGAATCATCTTCAAGAAAACTAAAATTGGGTTCGCTCGCTATCTTCACGGTCAAAGCAAGTTTCTTGTTGCAATCGTGTAAAGCATTGTGTTTGAATCGTTCTTGACGCTGAAATCGTGTAATATCACTGTCCGGTACCTCTTTTCTTTCCTAAAGAGAAAAACTGCAAGTCATTTTAAATAGACTTCAAAAAAAGAGGAGGTTCTCAATTCGTCTATTTTTTTTTATTGTTGTTATGTTACGCGATTTGTGAACCAATTTTAATGATTCTTTATTTGTTGGAAAGAGGTTACCTCAGCACTGGTCTCATTTAAACTTGAAATATTCCACCTAGGGATAAATCCGGTTTCGCGCATTTTCTGGTAACCGATTTCAATAAAAGTTGGCAAATAGATTTTATTATAGAATATACTTAAATAGAGAATTTTGAGGTCGGTTTTTTTAGTACCCTGTGCTGAGATTATAAAGGATATAGTCATGATACCGACCCCTGTATTACCTCTAACTCGTTTCAAGATTTTACACTTTTCGAAAAATTTGCTAGAGACAAATGTGTAATTCGTAATAGCTCACTGTAGCTCAAGAATAATAAAAGTACCCGCCCGCATGTATTATTCCCGCACCGATACCTACCTGAAGGTATCATTTATTTACTCAGCATTGCCTAAAGGTCATCAGATTGAAAAGATATTAAAGAATTGGGGAAAAATAAATATAATGTAAAGAAACAAAATACGTAAATCGCGTAAAAAGTGTGAAAAAAAAAATTACCCGCCATTTTTTTGTATTTACCAATATCTATCTGGACATAAGTGCAACCCAATGTGTAGAACGGTCATTCTCGGACTATGTTGACTAATTTCGTGGCAATTTTTGTTATTTAAATATTCAAGTATATTATCGTGTAATTTATTAAATAGCATTTCACAAAAGAATACTCGAATATTAAAAAAATCGAATTTAAGAAAATGACTGAGAACAACGAGAACAACGTTCGTTTGTGTAAGGAACAACACGCATTTGCTAACCACTGTGACGTGGTCAGTGCCGATCTAATAAGTCCCAACAAATGTCACCTGGGGTAACTAATATTTAAATAAAATACTTTGAATACCTTCCCGCATTTTAATGGATGCATAACTTACCATACAGTCAATGAAAACGGCTCTAACTTCGACTTGGGAACTTTTCTTCTTAGAATCTACGGAATCGTCCATGGCTACAGAATCAATGATAGGGAATTGAATTAAAACTATTACAAATAGACCTGAAAGCAAAATAATATGAAAGAAAATTCTTAACAATTACAAAATAAATAAGGAAAATAATTATGTTAATTAAAATTACTTACATGGGCTTGAAAACCAACCTGTACTCTTACTCATTACTAAATTATTAGTGCTTATATAAATAATATCTTTAGTTTTATTTTAATCACGATCTATCACCAATTTTATTTTTCCGACAATCAAAATTCAAGGAGAATATAACCACTGAGGATATGAAGGTACTTTTTGAGATAAGCTCAATGACGTTATACTTACATTAGCTTGTAAAAAGTAATTTAAAAAAAAGTGCTTTAAGTAGGTATGCCTTTAAAATATAGAGAAAATGTATAATAATACCCTTAGAGGATGGAAAAAAAATAATAATACCTAGAGGATGGAAAGTATTTGTAGAAAAATGTAACCAGTCGAGTACCTACCTACATACACTTTTGGCGCCACACCTTCTGATACATTGTCTATGACAAAATTGTATTAGCCGAAACATCTCAGCCTGTCTAAATGTTCAGCGCTCTATCTTTGAGTACGACCCGACGTCAGCTATTGATCTAAATAACTCTTTCTTCGCTGAACAGATATAATTGGCAATAGCGCCTGCCGTATCTCCCGGCGTGCAACCCTCAATAGCATCATGCGCCGGGCCTTAGCTATCCCATAGTGCCCTATCCCATCTCCAGCACAATATCACTAAGGCTGGCTCCGCAGCTGAGCTGGCGAAAAGAATAATAGTAATAAGTACCAGGATCTCGGCTCCGACTACCTATTTACAACATTTGGAGTCGAAACCCTTGGCCCGTGCGGTCCCAGTACCCTTCATCTATACAAAATTTTATAGAAAAATTAATTGACTGTCTGGAAAATCCAAGGGCCGGCTACGTAGCTACCTTGCCCAACACATTAGCATATCAATACCAAGGGGGAACGCTGCCAGCATCTTGGGCACCTTGCCGCGGGGACCCAATTTTATTCATATAATTTTAAAATTCTAGTTTTGCTTTCTAGTAGTTAAGCTTTTATTGTCTTTTTTACCTTACCTGTATATTATCTTAATCAAATACTCAAAACAATATTGGCAATTGCTCCACCCACAAGAGCATAATTCTAATCTAATTATTGATATCACAATTTTCTCGCTCACCAGTTCGGTATTGCAATTAAAAAGTTATCCAGTTAAGGTTGACTTTAGAAAATTGTATTGTAAGTGTGCCGTTATAATTACAATACCCCATTTTAAACACTTACCTATTATTATTTTAAGTTAAAAAGTAAAAAAAGCAGTACACTTCTTGGAATAAATAAAGTAACTGGTCTTTAAGCAGGCAACTGACCGGACATTTTATCGTAACGTTCCATTCGTAGCGAGCTAAGTCGACGTCGACCGACCGGTATCGTCCGTTTCGAACTCTGTGCTCGACCGTGCACCGCGTTCGCAGTCAAAATGTCGGATGACGAAGTCGTGATTATATGGATCTGAGATTTTACTCAAGGCTTACTCCAAATGAAGAAAAAAAAACATTCATAGGGATTCGTCAAAAAACCGACAACTAGCACACGGAGGTCGCGACGAGCGGCTCGGCTCACTGTACTGACTATACGAATGCTCACATGTTACGCTGAAACATCGAGTACTGAAATGAATTGGTCTGTCACCACCTTTTTCTTTACAAAAGCTAAATAGTGTCAAAGACCAAGTTAAAATACAAATTTAAAATAAATACTTCGAAAATACGATTCTGAAACTAAAAAATAAAAAACAGACATCTTGTACAATTTTTAATCCAGTTGATTGATCAGTATAAGTATTGACAAGATCACAATTCAAACGAGAAAAGGAAATACTTGAAGCAAACATTCACTTTTGACTATCTTAAACACTTCAACGGAATCACAATAACAAATGGTAACAACTCCCTTTCTCATTTCAATTAACAACATCAAGTTTGTCATGCCGCCTCCTTTACCAAATTCATAGAATCGTATCACATTTATAAATTAAAAATACTGGGAGATCACATTATAGATTTCCTTCGACTATCACTTATCCGCATATGAATTTAGTAATTTCGGCTATACTCGAAGCAGCATAAAGTCACGAGTGATCCAGTAAATCAGTCGTGGCTCCATCACAATTTATTTTATAATTAGAAATGCAAAAAGACCTAACCAACTAGGAACATTTCAAGCCAACTTAATGAACTTCGTCATACAAAATGTTAGTGTTCATAATTAAAATTTCAGCTAATGTTGGTTAGATCTCTTTGTAACAAATTGGCAATTACATATTTATTTATACTTTTTCTTTTTTTCCTTTTTGAGTAGAATGAAGCTGGTTTCAATCTATCTACGACCCATGATATTACGTTGCTTATTATTTATGGAAACTAGGCTATTATTGTACCTATAGTTTATGATGGGTTCGGTATTTATACCCTAATTTATATTTATATCAATGCACGGTAAATTCTTGATCATTGTAAAAAATTCACAGACCTACAATTACATTTTTTCGCTATTAATTCATGTAAAGAAAGACGTTAACGTCCGATTTCAATCAGACGATCGTTAAAGGTCGAAAATCCGGATTTCAAAGCTGGTGTACAATCACCAACGGAATGCTATATAAACCAAGCACTAGTTTTGAGTCATTATTTTTTAGATAATATACTTACTTAGATAAATAGACACAGGCTTTTATGTGGTATGGCAACGTCATAATTATTTACTTTGGCTGATTAGGATAATTTGAATGCCCATAATTATCATTAAATACAATGAACGATTCGTGTTGTGTAACAAACTGCCAATATTTTGATTTTTAGCTTCTATTCTCTCAAATTCTCATCTGTTTGCAATATCAACCAACCCATATAGATTTGCAGTTGTTTACCTAACACCCTGTATATAGCAGGTTTTAAAAATATCTTAATAAGGTTAAATTAGTTTCAGATAGTACGTACATTGTAGCAGTCCATAAACCGAGTCGAAGACCGCCACAGGTAGTGTGTAACGTGACATTATTGTAATCTGGTGATGAGACTGTATATGTATATAACACTATCGGCAGTCACTTGTTTTTGCCAATCGCCTTTTAGCGTTCAATTATTCGGTACTGGTATTTTAGTCAAAAAATACGCGTGCTATAGAAGGAGCATTATAGAAAGTGTAACAAATAGGTGTAGTTACATTATAGGATATGGAAGATTTCACGAACTTGAACAACTTTAGCCAGAATTTTTTGTTACTGAAAAATATTTTTTTAAAGGAAACCTGTTGTTGCTGCCACACGAGATGTGTAAAGTTAAAGTTCAATGTTATGGACACTATTATATCTCAAACTAAGACTACAGTTTTCTATTATATTTGTAGATACTATAATATTTGAGATTTATTAAAATTCACAGAAAATCTTTATCTTTTCAGGTTTGAAATATTTTTCACACATCAATGTTAGAAATATGATGATATACTGAGACGATTCACTACAAATGAAAAAATAATAATATCTAATAAACAAAATAACAAAACATTGAATTAAAAAATGTTTTAGTCGACTGGACATCGCAAATCAGACAATTCCAATTTAAAAACAGGACTATCACACACTTATAACCTAAATCAAGATAACTAAGCTATAATGTAAATATAATTTAAAAAAAACTTCCTTTAATTTCAGCTTTACGATTCCGGGTCTGTTGAAGAATATGTAGCACCTTTACTCGTCTGAAATGAAATAAACGTGTCCTAGAGATCGTTACGATTACTTAATGGAACCCACCAGATAACATACAAGGCTGGGAAACCAATCGTTTTGAATTTGTTATCTATGAAGCTCTTAAATGAATGAACTCAACTATGTCAGACAATATTCTCATCTAAATTAGCATCATCATAATCTCAGCCCGCTAACACCCACTGCTGGGTATAGGCCTCCTAAATTAGTATAGCAGAAATTAAAATTAATATATTTATCAGTAATGATGTTGCTCCTCAAAATACTTAATAAAAGAATACGAGCAGAACGTTCGTCGTAGTTTTTTACGCAAACAATTTTTCAAAAATTATATAGGGTTAGATGGGGTAAGAGGAACGCCGGGGGAATAAGGGAAGTCTTAACTCATAATTTAAAGAGTTTAGCACTATAGCCTCTCAGTCGATAAAAAAAGATAAACAAATTAGTTTAAGCGATTTTAAAGAGATGTCGCTACGATGGTCCAAATCCAAATGGCGGAAATAACAAATTTGACAGTTGTGAAATCTTGAGAACACGAGGTATTACATTTCTTTTAACATCTTATTACTTTCATCATCATAATAAACTCAAAAACCGACCTCAAAAGTTCGAGAAATTACATCTATTTACCAAGTTTTATTGAAATCGGTTATCGGAAAGTGCGCGATACCGGATTCATCCACTAGTTTGCCACCTTTAAAGGTAGAATATTTCTTTAAATTTAAATGGGATTATTCTTTCTAACAAAAAAATAATCCTCAAAATCGGTTCGCAAATGTTCAAAAATGAGTTATCGCCAGACATACATACAAAAAAAGAAAAAAATACAGAACCTCCTCCTTTTTTTGAAGTCTGGTAAAAATACAGTGACTGTTCCTCTTACTCCATCTTTTGGGGAAAGAGAAACGTTAGCACAATTTGCACGTTGTCGGCAAATACACCGTATTGATTTTAGTGTAAAGGATTTAAAACATGTAAAGCTAAAATTGAGTGTACTTTAAAATTCTTATAAGACTATCTGTTCTTCCTACAGCTCAAAACATTTGATTCAAAATAAAGTACGTTTCTCTTCCCCAATGACTTTAATAAAATAGATATTTGTTTGCATGTCAATTACCAACTCACCTCACAGCTATCATAGAAAGTGAGTGCGGTCTCTAGGTCGTGGAAGTCCATGGTTACAGTCTTATCCACAGGATCGTTACTGGTGTAGTCGGTACCAGACCACGTGCATGAGGTTTCGTTCAACTGCAACAACGAAATGTGAGTATATTACACGAAAAGTTTGCGCATTGCTACACGGAGCAAACACGAGAATCCTATTATATTAATCCCTAAGTGTCGTTGGTAGATAGAAAGGGAGCAAAGTTGCTGGGCTATTCGTTCTTTAAGTTACGTCTAAAATTGTCAGAGGTCTCTTGCGCGTAAAACTCGAGTTCCAAGACATGTAAGTAATATAGTCCTTCCACGTCTTTCACATCAACTAGACGCGTCCATTTCCACTCACGCATACGATTTTACACGTACCCCAGGCTGTGTCCCTAACACTGTATATATTTCGTAAAGAGGTATAGCAGCAGTGCATTACAATTATTACTTCTCATGGTAGTCTTCATAGTTTCCCAAAGTGATCCCTACCGCGCCCCGGTGGACGCTAAAGAATCCTAAGGGGGAGTTAGGGGTCTCGGAAGTAATTGGGAGCGTTGATGATATCCAGGGGATACTACCGCTTTGAAAAAAAACTCGAGTTATCTATATAAACTACACAACATACAATTGTAATTTTTACCCTTATGGTTTTTGTGTCAAGTTAATATAAAAAATACGTGTTTTCAATTATTTTTTGTGGTGATGGGCGTTGAAATTTTTTTGTCTTGCCTTGCCAAGTGTGCCAAAGTGAGCAGTGGCAGTGAGTCAAAAACTTTTGGGAACCTATGTGGTAGATGAATATTTTACCTGGAATTCAGTTTCGGTATGTATTAGCATGTCGGCAAGGATCTCGCCTGTGTCATTGTCGGTGACCAGAATCTTAGGCGAGTAGATCTCCTGGTCAAACAAAAGCTGGACATGAGCGTTCTCGCAAGCTGTTTCAGAATTGCCTTGTCGCACTAGCACCTCCCCATCGCATGCATAGTATGTTGCGGACTCCTCATCCTCCTAAACAACACAAAACAAACCATATAGTAAGACAACAATTAACACCTGCAGTAGCCGAGCCCTTTAAAGATCCAGAATTATCTTAGACAACTAAAGTATCTCTATTCAAATCAAAATTACTATATTATATAAGTATAAAAAACAGAATTAAGAGAGACAAATACATGCTTATATTCGTCAAATGAAACTGTATCACCGCCAAAGGTAGCACGGGTTATTAACAAAGTTACAGAAAACGAATTATTGAATCATCACTGTGTGACTGTTATAGTTACGTACATCATTATAATAGTCGTAATCATATTCATGATCATAAACCTCCTCATCAGGATCTTCTTGTGGCTCTTGGAACTGAACCTGTTTAAAGAGCTCTGTCTTCATTTGTCCATTCTGTTTGCCATCAGTCTGATCTTTAGATTGCGAGTCTGTAACCTCGGTTACTTTTGTTGACATTGCGGGGTCAGCGCGAGCACTATCTTGTAAGCCTTTGGGTAATCTTAGTGGTTCCACAGGTTTTTCAACGTCTTCCCTTATTGCTTCAGCTGCTGCAGCTTGTAGTTTCTATTGGTGAAAATAAATTAAACTAACCACCATTTACGAATGTAAAAATTAATAAATTAATAATTATTTTTATTGTAATTAAACGAAACACTATTTTTAAACTACAAACGACAATAATAGTCGCCAAATGCAGAAAACGCATTAACTATTTAATTATCAAAATTAGTGTTATGAGTGAATACCTCATATGTGATTTCTATGTAATTTTTCAGGACGAAGATAAAAATGTGGTGTAATCTCTTTTAGATACTATATTACTTCAAATATATATTTGAGCAAGATGTTTATAATTTTTCCTTCAACAAATATCAGTAAAAACGAACTATGTGAAAACGCGTATGCGAGGTTTTCACTCAAAGGCGATGGTATGTAGTCTTCCTTTAAAATGAAACACAATAAAAAAATAATAATTTTTATGATTCCTGTCAAATTTAGAAAACTCTACATTCGGAAATAGCTTAGAAACGGCAACATTTAAATACTGCTAACTTTAAATATCAATAATAATACATTATTATTGACACAAACATGGAATAAACACAAAGAAAAATTTCTTCGATCCACGTAGCCACGTTGAAGCGACAGACGCTGGTTCGTGACCAGTCGGATAAAGAAAATCTTTGTTTCGTTCGACCTTTGTATCAATAATAATAACAAACTAGTGGAACATTTCTATTAAAAAAATCATGGACAACATGGCAGTAAAACCGTAAATATTCATTGACCTTTTCGGTACGTCAATGTATCCATTCAATAAAAATAAATACATGTATGTATGTATGTATATATTAAAGTCTGTTCCAATCCATTTTGAACAAGAAGTAAACAAACCTGATGGGTTAAAATTCTAAAGCAATCACTCAATAAATCGAATAAGTAACACTTTCACGTAAATTTCGAAGATTTCGACTTACTTTAAATATAGGTGCGCATTTGACCTCCAACTCACCTGATTGAAAGTGACGATGAGATCAACAATGGAGCATGCACACCTAAATAATGCCTATTGACTCTCGCCTTGAAAAGGTCCAAGTTATAACGTTCAGGGAACAAGTCTGCAGGCAGGGATTTGCCGTTCGCCATATAAATGTGGAAGCGTAACGCTTCGTGCGAATCTTTGGAATATCCACAAAATAGGGGTGGAACCTAAGTCTACGTCTAGTCCCCTGGTGATGGAAAGGGGAAGGCGGAATTAAATCGTGTAATTCCATCGCACACTCTCCGTGATATATCCTGTAAAATACCGGTAAGCAGGCAACTTTACGGCGGTGTTCAAGGCTCTGTAGCTTCGCCTCCACTAATTCCGAGTCACCTATAAGCCTCTTGGCACTGTTGTCAATTGAATCCAAAGTGGCCAGTTGATATGTCGCAGATTCATCATTTAAAATCATTCTTATTCATTTAAATAGCATCTGAAAATCGTATTTGAAAAATGGTAGTCCAAAAGTGAGGTTATTATTCCTCTATACTACTATGTCTTGCCTATGGTTGCATAGTGCTATTCGAAAAAAAACATTCGGTTCAATCAATTAAAGTTTAGTAATCGATTATTAAATCGAACATTTCAATCGCAATCGAACGAGTATCTAAGTGTAAGGATTTGAAGGAGGATTTACCGCACCTACCGGCGGGGAATGAGGGACCGAGGCAAGCCACCCCCTCCCCAAGAGGTGGAGCGGGAGCGCCGCCTCGCGGCGCAGCGCATGCGGGACCGGTGGAAAGAGGGCTTGGCGGATCCCCCCTATGGCGCTCGTACCATAGAGGCGATCCGCCCTGTCCTCGTAGAGTGGGTAAACCGGTCCCACGGGCCACTGTCGTACCACCTTGTGCAGGTGCTGACCGGGCACGGCTGCTTCGGTCACTACCTGCACAAGGTGGCGAGGAGGGAACCGTCCCCGTCGTGCCACGAGTGCGGCGCTGCGGATGACACCGCGCAGCACACCCTAGAGGTGTGTAGCCGGTGGGATGAGCAGCGCCGCACTCTGACGGGGACTGTAGGGCAGGACCTCTCGTTGCCGAGCGTGGTTGCCGCCATGCTCGATAGCGAGGAGTCCTGGGAGGCGCTGGCCTAGAGGCTGTTGGCGCAGAGGTTATGTCGCAAAAGGAGGCCGCGGAGCGGGTGCGCGAGGACGCGGCGGACGCGCACCCGCTCCGGCGCAGACGTACGGGGAGAAGGCGAAGGCAGTTCGCTGCTCGCCTAATCCCCTAGTGAGACCAGCGGGCTCTGGACAGGGACTCCGGAGCCTGCATTGCACGGCCTCACTCGTCTGGGGGGCGGGTCGGAGGACAACCGACTCGCCCCTCCGTTGGCGCGGGAGCCCTGGCGTAAGCTAGGGCGGCCGGGCGGCGTCGTGGTGAATGTTCACTGATCCCACGGCGCCGACTCAACCGGCGAGAGGGAAACCCGGGGGGGGTTTTAGTGGGGTAGGCCCTCCAGTCTGGAGGGAGAGTCCCCACATAGGGGTATCCATAAAGATTTCCCCCCGTAAAAAAAATAAAAAAATAAAAAAAGGTCCGTGACTTGTTTGTTTACTTTTTGTTTAAAATGGATTGAAACGAAGTATACATATATGTATAACATTTTGTACCCACCCGAATACACTCATTGACCTTGTCCCGGAAGTTAGTGGCCAACTCTACAGACTTGAAAAGTACTGCCAATGTTTCTTGTTCACCAGAAGGATTCTCAGCGAAATTACGACCTGCCCAGGTCCAGGCGCGGTCAGAGTTCTTCATCGGAAGCAGTTCCAAATCCATAAACAGTAACATGTTTAATACCGCTTTGTGCACCTGGAGAAAGGATAACATTTTGTAAATGCATTTGTCCCCATAAAATAAGTGCTACAGCTATAAATAGCTATAGCATACGGTATACCGTGCATACGTAATTTAATTAATAAGTAGGTAACTAAGAAAATATAAACAAGTAATTTTGTTTGTTAGGCAATGTTTAATAGGATGGTACATAATGTACTTTCAAAATTAAAGTGAAACAAACCACTAAAAGTTACTACATAGCTTCTGCGTACTTGGATGACAAAAATCCATGGTAGTCAGCCGATTAGCTCTTGCAGGTTGCCTTGATCTATCATATACGAAATATTGTAATGATAAATATACACGAATGTCTATTTACAAAGAGCAACCTCCAGAGCTTACTGATTCTTCTAAGGGATCTGCCTTACGAATGGCTACAAGTCTCAAGTTTGACTATTTCATGCGCAATTTGCTTACCCATGAAATAAGATCATTTGAGTTTCGAGTACAAACAAGGACGCATACAATTGAATCATACACTTTCAACTTTTCGTGGATATTGTCGCGAATGAAAAACGAATAAAATAAATATTTAATTACAATACTCTAACGCCGTGGGTTCCCCGCGACCGCTGAGTCATAAACCGTTAGCACTGTCTGCGGTTTTATTATAAAATGTATCACTGTTTTCAAGACAAATAAATGAGTTTGTTATTATTATTACTGATTCACACAAAACTCGCAAAATGTTACAAAAAAGCTTACTTGTTCACGTCGGAGAAGAAATCTATAAGTTTTCCGTTCAGGGTGGTACAAGACCTTCATTTCACCAACACCTCGCTCCTTCCACTCCCGCGTCTTGTCGTCGTAGCGGTACAATTTGCAACGCTCACCAAATAATTTGACCTAGAAAATAAGCAATTATTAGGTGAAACCAGTAATGAGGACAACAGTAAATTTTTAACAATCAATTAGATATATTTACAATCGCATTTACAGAGTTTATAAATATGTAGTAATAAGTTTAATTTGTTATGTGCATAAATCAGAATCACTTTGAAAGCAAAAGAATCGTTGTGCAAAGCTAATCGCGTCGAAAGGTAGAAAAGAGTGTTTGTGGCTTTTAGTGATTATTGAATGGGGTTCATTGGACCAGTGGACCAGGGAGTGCCTCTTTAATACTGTAACGTAGAATAAATAGTTGGCGAACCGATAGTATTTTGCAATTTTTGTAGTGTAGTGGCTTACAGACAAGGCAATCTCCACACCGTTTTCAATATTTTTTATTTTTATGATACTAACCTCGTTTTACATCGTTAGGTGTACAATACGTTAGCAGAGGGCTAACGTATTGTACAGCAACTATAAAATATTGCAGTGGTTCCCTGGTAAAGTAGTACATGCCAGCCACTTCCATTGCAAACTTTTTTTAAAAAGGGGAACATCATGTTTCCTTATAATGCTAAATATTTTACAATTACCTATATGTTTTGAAATTGAAAATTTAGTAACATACTTAATTGATTACTTAAAAATTTAGATAGTAAATAATTTAGCTTTATTTTACTAAGGGGATAATGTGGATATCGACAACGTGTCGTAATATTATAAATATAAAAAATAATTTTCAACTTCTTGATCAGAGTGCATCAGTCTTAATCATCATCAGGCAAGTTTAAAGATGGAAGTGCTATAAATAGTTCAACTTTTATAACAATGTAGCTGCAGATAATGTGATGGTCGGGAGTGCTATAGCAATGGGCAATGACACTATACGTGTTTGGATTGGGTTGGGCAGCTTTTGTTAAGCTAAAAGTGACTAGATGAGTTTCTTCATTGTTAGAGTTTACGTTAGAATTTAACCTTTTAGATACAATACAGAGTGATAAAAAATAACTGGCCATTTTTTTCTTGTGCATAAGATTCAGTAATAGAACACATTAGTGAAGTAAAACAAAAAAAACTTCCCCATTTTTTGATGTTAATATTTCCCAATAATTTCTTTTTACCTCAAAATAGTAAATAAAATTTAGCGATCGTCGATGCGTTAGTTTAATACTTTTCACTTGTCATGCTCTTAAAGTTCGTATTTATGCTGGGTGTAGGCTGCTTAAAATAGGATTTTATGCTCTAGTGCATAAAATAAAAAACCATCGCATAAAATACGTCTAATTAATTACGTTGTAATTTTACATTCAATTTTAATTAAATAATCGCTTATTTGAATATTGCTGTTTAAGTTCCTCGCAATCGAAGTGAAAAGCAGAGTGTATAACTCGTTCATAAAACCCATTTTACCCTCAACTTAAGTATCCACACTCGCCTGCGGCTCGGGTAGTATACTCTTTATGCACTTATTGTACAATGTACTATTGTTGTCAGTCAAATAAATGAACTCGCGCGCTGACTCCGCCTACTGCCCCACAGCGTTCTTGTTGCTATAGCAACGGCGTCTGCTAATCATCGCGTGTCAATATTGTTCATAATTTTTCGGAAAACTTCGAGACGTCATAACTTATTTATTTGTTAAGTATTTGAAGAAAAAAAAACCGAACATGTATTTTTTATTTCCATTATACAGAATGCTCCTTTAAAACGGTCAGTGGTTTTTTTATCACAAAAAAAAAGTAAATGCTCTCACTTGTTAAAGGGAAACACGCAGTTTACTTGTGCGAGATACGGTTGCGCTCGACATTACTGCGCTAAAATTTACTTAATACGCCACATAACAAGGTATCTGGGTCAATAAACATAATTGCATTGTTTACATCATCTGTCAAGATAGAAAGGCTTATATTTCTTTTTATATTTTCATTAATACTTATGCTATCAGTCGTCCGCGATATCGCTTTCGTCGTACTTATGAAACAGAGATGCAATGGTGGGAGATTTTATAATAAATTCTGGGATTACATGAAGCAAATCAAAGTAGTTAACTATTTTATATATTCGTACAGATTACAACTTTTTTTGTCATAATATAGTAAATGTTCATTTTCTAACCTCATCTTCTTCTCCAGTAGTGACAACAATTTTGTCAGGTAAAGGTACAATAGGTTCGTAATGTGGGTCATATTCCTCCTCGGCTCCCGCTACAGAGTCGTCACCTGCACCGCTTTCATTTGCCGATTTATCAGTGTCTTTAGCCGATTTTTGTGCACTTGTAAATAATTGTTGTCCCGCGCCTTCCCACTGGAAGTCAGTATTTTCTGCAGAACAAAAAGAGTTCATATTAAACTATAAGTACAATATTAGTACATTGTATGTATATAAATAAATAAATATATAAATAACGCACACACTCAACATAGCCCCGCACTAGGGAAACCCTGTGTCGCGGGTACCATGGACACACACATAGACAACCACAAATTACACCCAAACTCACGAGAGAAATAAATGTAAGCCATACAAACATTTCTCCCGGCCCGGGAATCGAACCTGGGACCTCTGCGTGGCAGTCCGGCATGGTAACCGTTCGGCCACGGAGGCAGTTAATTATGGTCGATAACTAGGCAATTATGAACACAGATACATCGCAAGAGCGTTTATTATTGTTGTTCCGCCCGTGTGGCATATAATGTATTTCATTACACTTCCAAGGAAGTTAAAAACAGGAAAATTAGTCTTTGGAATGTTATAGTTCAAACCAGAGAACAAATAAGTAATGAGAACGGACACTCTCCGCCCCTAGCTTTAGATACCGCACCACCCTCCGCACATTGACTGAACGAGTACAAGGCTGTCGGCGAGCCGATTTCGCGCTAAGACGGCTTTGATGTTTGAATATAGTTTTCATTTATTCATTACGAAATTTGTAATTTGAAAGTTAATATATAACATCATTTTACGTTACTATTTATAATGGTCGTGAGTAGTGCTGTGTACGGCTGTTTATAATCATCTGAATGGGATAAATAGAGAAGTTTCTTTCGTTTTTTGAAAGATAAAACGAAGTAAGTAAAAAAAAACTTATGTCTGAGACTCATTCAGTCATTGTTTTCTTTAGTGCAGAGTAATATATAATACAGATTTATTATATCAATATAATAGACGCCATAACTTCGTGAGCTAGACAAGGGTTCTAGAATTTTCAATTTGTATTGCCGACAAATATTACGTAGTGAATATACCTAATTATTATTCTAGTTAGTGAATTAATAAAAAATATAAAATTATATCGATATATAAATATTTAATGAACATGTGTGATTATTAGGATTCTATAATAGAATTATAGATAACAGATTCGCGTTTGAATTCTCGCTATGTTGCCGCTCTGACCACGTAACGTAAGAGTACGAGCAAGTGATGGGTAGGTAACCCCTGCCACTTCACTCACACATTCGCGCGTGTACAGATAGCGCCTTGCTGTGTGTAGTAGTAGGTAAATAATTTTCGACTGTGTAAGGAGTGTCCGGTGTGTGGTTCAAAAATACTTACAAAATTTTATGTATCTCATAAAAATGTTATAAACATCTAAACTTAATTTGCAAGCTTTTAAACTTTTTGCTTTGACTTTATATAATGAAATAAAAAGAAAATCTGTATACTACAGTGTTTACGAGTATGTGCCTCATAAAAATGATATATAAAATAAAGCTAACTGTATTTACATTAATTGTAATAATATATTTTCCGGTATCGTGACACGAGTTTGGCGCATGACGACTGTGATGGCCGAGCCAGCGCTTCTATTCGGCGGCAGGAATGTGGAAATACGAAAAAAATTACTGGCTTACGGCTGTATGTTGAAAATAACAGCCTAGTTTTGATGCACGTTATGCTAGTACTTCCAAAAAACGGTTTTGAAAAAACATTAATGATATTCTCTTATGACATTAAAGCCAGACTTACTCACTTTGGACATTAAAGCCAGATCCACTGGATGATAATGCAGCAAATGACAAGCTGTTATCAACTTTGAATGGGGTCTCAGGAGCAGCTGACTCGACGGTTTCTTCAGTTTTGTTTTCAGTTGTTGCTGTAATAGGTGTTTTCATCATGTCTGGTTTCTGCTGATTTGTCGCACCTCCGAAAGTCCATGTTGGTGCCTGAGTTCCTGTAGCCGCTATATTGAAAACAGAAGCGCCACTTCCAAAATTCTGGGGTTGTGCCGAGTTAGACCCAAATATTGATTCTGCACTTGAACCAAATATGACTTTGTTTGGTTTTTGCTGATTCTCAGATAGAGCTCCAGGCCCAAACAAACTGCCACGATACCCACTACTAAACAAGTTAACGGGTTTTGAATCTCCGCCAAATAACGATTTCACTTCGGGTTCTTGAGCATCATCTTTCTTGTTATCTGACGAGAAACTAAATATTGATTCGTTTATAGAAACTCCCGAGTTATTATTTCCAAAAATGGATTTAGATTCCCCACCAAGTTGAGGGGTATCAAAAACGGATTTATTTTCTTCAGTCTTGGATTGGGATGTTCCAAAGAAAACTGGTTTTGTCTCTTCAGGTTTGGACTGTGTGGTTCCAAAAACAACTTTGGGTTGAGAAGTTCCAAAAATGGATTTTGTTTCTTCAGGTTTATTATCAAATTGAGAAGTTTGTGTACCTAATTTTGGAGGCGCTAATATGGAGCTCTTCGCATTTGTTATTTGACTTTCGCTAGCACCAAAGATGTTACTAGACGTGTTTTGTGACTGCCCGAAAATATTTTGTTTATCGCCGAACCCAGCAAATATATTTTTCTGGGTGAATGCATTTTCCTTGTTTTTTGTATCATTTGCAGGTGCGGCATTAGTGGGAGTCACAGGCGAAACAGAATTGGCATTTGAACCGATCGAACCTAAAGGAGTTCGGAATATGGACGTATCTGAAGTTTTGTCAAAGTTAGCTGGAGTCCCGTAAAACGAGTTTATCGGACTTTGGAAAGCAGTCGGTAATGATTTAACTGGCGTAGATAAGGACGAGGTGAAAGGTGTTGTTCTTGAAGTCAAACTGAAGCTTGAAGTTGAGTGGATTGATTTTTCATCATCAATCATGCAACCACGGCATCCTTGACATGGTTCTTTGGTTTTATAAGTGAAGAAGTTCTCAGGCAGCATAAGTTCTTTAGCTTTTTGTTTCTCATCGTCTGTTGCCAGAATTTCACTTACAAAGACAACATCTTCACTGTCATTGACTTTAGTTGAATGTGATTCATTTTTAACTGCTAATTTACCATCTCTGGCATTGTCAATGGCTTCTTTGAATTCTAATGCAATTTCTTTAGTTTTGAATCTTAGGCAGAATTGTTGCAGACTTAATTCGCCCTCACTGAAGTCGTTAGCAGCAAACAACCAGGTTTTGTCGTCTTTTGGAGAGTACAGTATTTCAGGTGTTAAGGCATGATTTAGGCAAATTTTTAAAACCTGTTCTCGTCGCATTACAATTCTGAAATAAATTTATAATAATTATATTTTGTTCCGCTAATCATTTATTGTTTTATAAACCATGATACACACAGGATCTGATGAATAGATAGGTCCACTCACCTCAGCTTTCCAGTATCTTTATGTTTCAAAATTTTAACAATCCCAATTCCACGCTCTTTCCACTCGCCAGCAATGAATCTAAATAACTTTGCTCTGTGCCCATAAAGTTCTATCTCATTTTCTTCTCCCGTTACAACTTCAACCTAGAAAAAAAAACAGCGAATAATTACAAAATAATAAAATAAATTGTAATATGAAGGTTATTAAATAAAATTACCTTATCAGGCATCGGTACAACAGGACTGAAGTAGATATGATGCCCTTCATCTTCAGACGCATATTCATCACTTTCATCGCCTTGACTCTTTGGAGATTTCATGGGACTTTTACCTTTTGGAGGAGTTTTTGGCTTGAACTTGAAATCAAAAGTCCCAGCATCTTTAACACCAAATGCTTCGGTATCAGCTTGGGGTGTTGGTAAAAGTGCTGGTTTAACTGTTGCGATTGGTTGATTCTTATCATGACTTGGTGTAGCAGGCACATTAATAAGTGTTTCATAAGCAGGTGACACTTTAGGTCCAAAGACTGACGACCTTTGTTCTGATGTGGCGGTTGGAATTCCAAAGCTAAACTTATGTGCACCTGTACCATCGAATATGGACGTAGTTTCTACCTTCGACGTCTGCTCAGTAGCGTTGTTAGCTGTTAGCGGAGTTCCGAAATTGAATTTAGGACCAAAACCCAACGATGTGAGAGGAGCAACAGGAGCAGCAGAAGCTGTTGTTTGTGAAGGAATTCCAAACTTAAATTTGAATGTATTTTCAGAAGGTGCACCTACACTGCTGTCTATTTTAGGCATGCCGGGTTCCTTCGGAGTATGACAAGCAGGACAATGATCAATATTTGCTTCATTACGAATAAAACAACCATTACATTCCCAGCTCCCTACTTTGGGTTTGAATTTATCACCCCAAGCAGCAGCAGCAACTGTGGGTTCATTTGTTGTTGCTTCTTTTACATTACTTTGTGGGTTTGGTTGCTCACAACATGCGCACTTTGCAAAACTCTCCAAATTGTTTGTGTAACATGTTTCACAATACCAAGAGCCTGCTTTGGGTTTAAATTTATCCCCAAATCCAACTTTGTTATTAAGATTTGCTTCATTTTGCTCTTCTTTCGCAGCCTTAGAATCATCTTTCATTTTAGACTGGACAGATTTAAGAGTGTCCATAAAATCGTCGCAAGCTTGCACAGTCTTGAATCGTAAGCAGAACGTCTCTGCCACTAACTCCCCTTCTGAAAAATCTTTAGCACACCAAGTTACAGCTTTGTCCATATTTGGCATTTTTTGGAAAACCAAATCATTTGTTACAGCATGATTGCAACATACTTTCATGATTTGCTCTCGTCGCATCAAGAGCCTTACTTTCTGTGGGTTGTCTTTGTGTGCAAGTATTTTAATATTTCCCAAGCCACGTTCCTTCCACTCCTTACTATTAGCATCAAATCTCAATAATTTGGCTCGATGTTCAAATAAAACGGTTTCATCTTCTTCACCAGTTTTTTGGTCAATCAAAGCTGGTAATGGAACAACCGGCTTGAAGTCAACATTGGGCTCAAATTCTTCGACTGTATCAGAAGCATTTAACTTATTTGGTGTTTCCTGTTTTGGTGTCTGGCTATTAGAAAATACAACTGGCCCAGTAGTTGTACTGAAAATATTGCTAAAAGGCGAGCTCGTGTTTGGTTTTGCGATATTTAAATTGCTGAAGACATTTACTTTAGTAGTTGTAGGTACATCAGTTTTGGAATCAGATTTCGGATTATCTGGAACAGTCTTGAACGTCGGAATACTATTAAAAGTAAATCCTCCGAATTCAGTTTTGTTTTGCGGGGTGCCATAACTAAATCCAAATACGGGCTTAACAGGCGTACTAGATTGTTCCGATTTTGATTCTGCTATGGGCGTTCTTTCAGTTTCAAGTGGATTCTGCATAGCTGTAGTGGTAGCGGCAGATTGATTAGTACCTTCTAGTAAGTTCTTTGAATCTAAGCGCGACTTTTCGAAAATGTCGCTGAATTGCTGGGCAATGTCAGCAGTCTTAAAGCGAATACAAAACTTCTCAAGCACAACAGTTTCGTCAGCAAAATCGTTAGCAACCCAAAAGTAAGCCTTAGTTTCGTTCTTCATTGGCTTAATTTCCATATCAGGAGTAATAACATGGTTTGCACATATCTTATGAATCTGTTCTCTTCTCATTAATACTCTAACTTTACCAGTAATCTTGTGTTTGAGTAATTTAATTTCACCAATACCTCTTTCCTTCCATTGTTTATCGACAAAGCGAAATAATTTTGCTCTAGAGCTGAAAATTACAGTTTCGTCTTCTTCGCCAGTTGTTACTTTTACCTCTGCTGGGAGAGGGATGATAGGTTTAAAGTCTGGACAAGGATCATAGTTTTCCACAGAAGTATTGCTTCTTTCAGACAACGTCCTAGACTTGTTGAAACTGGTGTTTGGCGATATTCCGGTAAAAGATCCGTCAACAAAGCTCTTACTATGGGTGTCATTCTTTAAATCAAGGAATGAATCATTTCCTGTTGCAGATGTGTTATTATTAGCTTGAGTCGTTTTGAATACAGAAGGCTGACCCCAATTAATTAAGGTACTTGGAGTTGATACTGGTTTGTTTCCTACACCCGGAAAACTAAAGACGGGTGGCGACATAACTGTTGTGTCATTTCCAGATGGCATTGGAATTTGGTAATTATGAGGAGTTGCATTTGCCTTAATGTGCTTAGGTGGAATGGTTACGCTAAGAATTGGAGGTGGTGCTGTAGTACAGGTCGGGAGTGGATCAGAAGACGTGATAACAACGTTCACAGGTAATGACCTAGGAATATCCTTGGGTTCTACCGCCGAACTAGGTTTTGGTTTGGCGACAGTTGCAATAGGAGGAGGCGCGTTAACTGGTGCCGTAGCTGCTGAGGACATAGTGGGCACCGGCGGAACGGTGGGCACCGGTGTAACGGTGGGCACAGTTGGAACAGCAGGTACAGAGGGTGGCACCAGATGTGCCACGTCTAAGTACATTTGATCAGGGTTAGGGTAAACACCTGGATAGTTTATGGGCGTTCTAGTAGGGTCGAATAACGGTGGTGCTCCCGAAGTCTGGCCAAACTGGGAATATTGGTTATAGAGATTATACAAGCTTTGATTGTACAATTGATATGGATTTGATGGTACAGGGAATGGAGGCACAAGGCGTTGATTAAATGGCGGCATTACTTGTGAAGTCTGGAAGGGCAGCTGAGTCGCAAATGTCGATGCGTTTTCGCTAGTCCTGTAGTCCTCATCTAGATTGTACAAGTCATTGTCGTCTATAGTTTGTTCTGTGGACGCCTTTTTCAACTTATTCACTTCTTTTTTCAATTCCGCTATTTGTTTCCTCAAATCTCCTACATCTTTACATTCATTTCTACATTCGTTAATTTGATCTTTAATGTGGTCAACGGAAACTTTGAGTAACTTGAATTGATCTGTGGTGTTTTGTATATCAGATTGAATGGTATTCATTATTTGATTTCCCAATCTACGATTTTCTTCAAACCAAGTTTTAGTCTGTTCCATTAAATCATCAGCTAATCGCATTTGGAAGTTTTTGATTTGATTTTCAATTTTTTCAAGGAACTGTGAATCTGCTCTAGGAGGCTCCTGAAGAATTTGTGAATCAACTGCGGTTCTATATTGCGTCAAATTAGAGTTAGATTGTTGTTTTGGAGTGGAACTTATGTTGCGGAAAATTTGGTAATTATTTCGTATTTGTACATGTTCACTACCACCAGACGAAATGTTTTCATCTGATGAATACTTTCCATCTCCGTCATTATTAATAGATAATTCAGGATCAATTTTGTTAATGTTAGTTTCCACATCCTCAATTAGTTGTTGAATTTGAGAATACAAGGGATGATCCTTGTTTATTTCAGTCTCTTTAACACGATCCAAAGCTTTGTATGCGTAACTCTTGGCATTTATCATCAAAGTAGCATATTTGGTCTTTGTGTCAATTGCATTGTGGTCTCTGGATAAATTTTTCTCTTCCATAGCGATTTTGCTATAAGTGTACGCGAGGTGGTAGTATGCCTGTGGAGACTTCAAACTTGAAAGCAACTCAATAACTTTCTCATAATCACCATCATTTAAATGACTAATTGCCACATACAGTTTGCTCTCTTCTATCAGTGAATTTAGTTCCTTCAAACTCAGCTCTTTGTGAGTGTAATCAAATAACCTTTTTTCAGGCATTTTAATAGTCATTTTATTTTTTAGTTTCTCAAGCAATGGGAGAGCGGAAGAGTAGTACAAACCAGCTCTGATTTCTAAATTCATTTTCTCCTCAACACTTGTAGTAAGTTTTGCTTTTTCACGGAATATACTGCCAATAGTACAGAGAAGTTCAGGGTCAAGTCCATGATGGTCAACACACCGTACAACTTCAATTCCTCTGCTCAGTGTAGCACGAATATCAGTTAGTTCTGTACCTAATTCATTTTGGCTAAATTTGTATGCACAGTCCCACCATTTCATTTGTGAGAGTGGGCAAAGTAAATCTGTTATATTGGCAGGGATAACACTTGGCTTATCAGATGAGATATAAGAAAGTTCCACTGATTTTTGCTGCCGTGTTGTTAATGCAGCACAGTACAAAAAGGCATGAACATCCAATTTATTTAATGTCTCTGGGCCACAGTTACTCGCAGTTGGAGTCAACATATCAAAAAGGGTACATTTAAAATGAGCAAAATTTTTGTAATTCAGGATTGTCCATACAAAGTGATGTAATGATGTGGGATACTCCCTCTGTGCATCAACATCATAAGCTTCAACTTCAATTCTTCGTGGTAATCTAAGGACAGGTGTGGTATATGCATTGGTGACAAAGTGAGAAGTTTTTATTTTGGCTAAGTGATCTTTACTACCAAAAATTTTTTCATACAATTTGTCCTTCCAATGTCCAGAACAACATTGGGAAATTCTGTCTAAAAATGACTGACTCCGGTCTGAAATATTGCCAAGTAAGTAATGCCCAGATTGTGAGCATCTGTATGAGCCTTCTATGTACCAGCGGTTTACAGCAATTTGTAGCTTTTCAGGAGCATGTGTCAGCCAATTTACTTTAGAGTCCAATGGCACGGTTTGCCAAGCAATCAGCATTAAAGGAGCTGCTGACCAAATAGCATCACGCCAGCTAAGTTGATCCTTTTTGGCTTTCTTCAATAAGTATGTTGCTGTATGTAAAACAAATTGTCCTCTGTGGTGTTGTAATAGAGCTGCATGAAACTCACCAAATCCTGGAGGTGCTTCGGCTTTAGCTACTTGCTCCAAAGCTTGATCATATGCATGAAGGAGATCATTAGACTCAATTAAACTTTTAGCAGAGCCACTAGGTGTTTCAGTAAGACTCAAGACGCAGATCCGTTCTCGCACAGTGAGAAGTAAAAGCTGGTATTGCCAGTCATTGGGATTATGTGAATTGTGCTTCAATATTTCCACAAGAGTATCATACCACATATAATTGTTGTTAAAATGATTTCTTTTCCAGCCGAATTCTGTATTGAAGCTGTGTTCAAAGGCTTGCTTAATTTGGTTAGTGTGTTGGTAGTGTTTAAGGAGCCTACAGTGAAGTATGGCATCTTTAGGTCTTACAGCCAGTTCTGCTGTGAGCAACTTGACAAGGGCTTCTGGATCTGGGTTGGAAACTGTAACCAGTCTTTCTCGAAGACGGAAAGTGATAGGATGTCGTGGAAATGTGGCTTCTGCCTTTTCGCACCAATATTTAGCACGTCCAGGATCAATATCCACTTCATCATCAGCCAAAAGTTCACAAACTACAAAGAAAAATTAAAGGTTAAATAAAATGAATTGAACAATATTATGGTTTATAATAATGTTAGCAGAAATCGCATTAAATACACATAAATGAGAATAACTAGCAATATTTTTTTTACAACTAACAAGGCTTCCAACAAAATACAACAATAAACAGCTAGATACTCACTATCAAGTATGGTACTGGTCTGTGTCGGGTCTATGTCCAGTGATATTTTGTAATGTTCAAGAGCTTTTTCTTTCTGTCCGAGTTTCTGTAATGCTTGTCCGAGAAGCTTGTGAGCTGCCGCGTTGTTGTCCTTCTGAGTAAGATATTGCTCAACATATTTTTGGCAGCTGGAGTAGTCTCCCACTTCATAGTACAATCGCCCGATAGAATAAGCCCGGGTTTTAAACTGAAAACAATTGAAACCCTTGTAAAAACCACCATAGTCCTTGAAATTTACCTTGCCCATGCGTTAGAGGTGGAGTTCTGTTACCGCTACTCACCTCCTTCACCGACAATTTTGCGATTAAGTTTTCCACGTGTTTGTCAACGTCCTTCTTTGTTCTATACATATTCACGGCTAATATAATAAGCAAATGATTATCGTTTTCAGCCACTAATAACAATTAAAAGTAGAAATCGCGTGGGGCAAACGGTCGGTAAAATTCGCCTTCGTCATATTTCTATCATAGAACTTTGATTTTTCAATGCAACCGAGGTTGCCAAATAATAATTAATTATTCCCAATATTTACATGTCCTTTTTATTAACATGAAGTGAAAAATTGCTGCAATTTCGCCAGTATTTTTTTCTAATTATAAATTATAAGTGGCAGTACAATAATTTGAAAATTAATTATTATGTAAAAACGTAAAAGAGTGTCCATAAAGTACAATTCTAAGTAGTGCAACATACCATGTTTCCTAGAAATAAAAGTATTTTTTTAAACTTGCAATATGATATTTCATGTTAAGTTGGTACCATGCAATGTTATGAATGAATGAACTAAACACAGTTTTTAGGGTTCGGCTGCACCATCGTGGCAACAAAGTCGACCATTGTTACTATTGGGGCCTTTTGGAGGGAAAAGTGTCGTTTTTATTTTGATTTTCAATTATTTTGTGAAATCTAGTTTAAAGTGGAATAGGATAGTGCTATTGTGCCTTAATCGAAGATTAAAACGCGAAATTATACGAATTTCGAACTAAAATACCCGTATCGGCCCGTTCTAAGGAGTCCCGAGTCAATCCAACCACGGCGCCTCAAATTGCCTATCCTCTTTGTGGTGGCCATATTTACAGAAATATAATTAAACGTTATGTTTTCGGCTGAAGGACTTTGTTTCCATGGCCAGCAATAATTTATAAAAAAAAAATTGTTACTATTGAAGATTTTCTAGTCGCGGTAAAGATCGACTGTAATGTTTGTTTAACAAAATAACATAATATGTTGCAAAGGTTTATGTTTTAACTTTAACTCTCTATTGTTAATATCATACTTTTGCCATTTGTTTTTAATTTAATCCGTAAATATGAAATAACGTTTAACTTTTCTACTAGTTTACAACATCACCTTTAGATGTGGCTATCGTATATTTTAGCGTCAGCGATCAATATAGATGCCTGTATATTTAATGCTACATTATTCAATAAGGACGGTTTCAAATTTAAACATTGTTTTTGTGTTAATAAGTCTTTTACCGTCTTATATCGATATAAATTCGTCCTTTCCATGGACAAAATGAGTGGAAACTCACGTCAATCAAATCACTCAAAGTCAATTCTATTCTATGGTCAACAGAATTGTCAAATTGTGTCAACGCGTACTGTTCTATGGTATAGTTTTATTTTACAAATAATTCTATAAACAATGAATTGTTGTTCAGATTAGTAGTAATATTTATCAATTTACCACAGTTGAGACGTTACATATAGCACTCTACCAATATTTCCGGCGTAAGACAACATGGGCGACGCCGAATTTGGATACGGATCCTCTCTTTCAGTAGATTCTATGAAAGTTATTGCAGAAAGTCTTGGTATTGCGGCTCTTGGAGATGATGCTGCTAAAGAACTTGCTGATGACGTTACATGTCGCCTGAAAGTCATAGTACAGGATGCTATGAAGTTTATGCATCATTCTAAAAGGCAAAGACTTTCTATCACTGATATTGATCATACCCTGAAGATCAAGAATATTGAGGTATGATTTTTACGTAATGTGGTACAAGTACACTTGTTTCACGATCCATTTATAAGTATATTCTTTTCCTTATTATTCTGTAAACAATTTGTTTATTGTCCTTTGTAACATTACCCTCTTCATCACATGTAAGCACATGTTTCAGCCACAATATGGATTTCTGCAACCCGATTCACTGCCATTCAGATTTGCGTCAGGTGGAGGAAGAGAATTACATTTCATAGATGAGAAAGAAATTGATTTATCAGAAATACTTTCCGCACCACCTCCAAAAGTACCTCTAGATGTGTCAGTTAGAGCTCACTGGCTGAGTGTGGATGGAGTTCAACCAACTGTGCCTGAAAATCCCCCACCTTTATCGAAGGAAGCCCAGAAACTGGAATCTGTTGATCCTGTTAGCAAACTTAGTAAACCCACAAATAAAGATGCTGCAGGTAATAATTATGTTAGCCTTAATAAATTTTTTCAATTTGTTTATTTAATTAGGGCACATTCTCATTATGTCGCGATGACGGATAGTCATGCAGTTTAAAATGTCGTGGCTTGTATATTTAAATGAAGTTGTTCACACAAAGAACAACATGATTCACTGTTGTTGACGACCTCTTTGACGTTATGACTACAGGCTGTCGTGACAATGGGAAGTGCCACAACAATAGTTGTCCCACAATTAATAAATTATTGCAATAAAAATTTCACGACAGAAAATCGCAGCTTCTAACGATTCTGTTGTACAAATGACAAGGTCGCTGCTGTGAACCGATAAATTGTTATCACAATCTAGTGCAAACAGCTACACACAACAGTTGTTCAATGATAAAAGAAACATCCATGACACAGTCACGACATATAGTCATGATACGGGAACAGGGTAGACACAACAGTCATCCAATGATTAATAAATCTTTTCTCGATTCTTAGGTAAACCAATGTGTGGTAAGGCAGCGAGATTAAAGGCATCAGAGTCTGTGCATGTGAAGCAGTTGGCCACTCATGAGCTGAGTGTAGAGCAGCAGCTGTATTATAAAGAAATTACAGAAGCTTGTGTTGGCAGTGATGAAGGGCGACGTGCTGTATGTACCTTAATTGTCGTAATAATATAATTATAATACAAAAAAGAACAGAACAGTAATATTAAGAGGCATGCCATTGCTGTAATAAAAAATAATAAAAAACCATAAACTTATATTTCATAATTTTTCACACAAATATTAATAAAAGTCGAAATAGAAATGATTCACATAATAGGATATTGATTAATGCCTGTGTATTTAAATGCATAGTCTTTAGAAATATTAAATTTGTTTTCAGGAAGCACTACAGTCACTTGCCTGTGATCCAGGTCTCCATGAAATGTTGCCTAGAATGTGCACATTTATATCAGAAGGTGTCAAAGTTAATGTTGTGCAGAATAATCTAGCATTACTCATTTACCTGATGAGAATGGTCAAAGCTTTGCTTGATAACCAGTCTCTTTATTTAGAGAAATATGTAAGTTTACTATTTTATTAATGTATTATTTAAGTATTTACTGTCAATATATTCGCCAATTGGAAATTATTGAAACATTTTCTCCAAATTTAAGACTAATATTTTTTAGTTGCAGTCATTTTAGGCTTAATATTTTTCTGCTACATATTGAACACTAACTGAAGGGTAAATATTTGTGTTGAATGAAATGACAACATTTTGGTGGAACTCTTACCAAAATTAAAAATACAAGTAATTTACAATACATCCAAAAAATCAAATCAAATCTTTGTCATTCAGAATTGAAGCGCCTCAGTTTATTTTTCCCGCTACATGACCTAATATGTTTGTAATAAATAATTCTTCTGTTCTGATTGCTAATAAAATTATAAATTCCACAGTTACATGAATTAATTCCGTCAGTATCAACATGCATAGTATCACGACAGTTGTGTTTGCGTCCTGAAATGGACAACCACTGGGCTCTGAGAGACTTCGCCGCGCGGCTCATGGCGCAAATTTGCAAGACTTTTAATACGTCTACTAATAATCTTCAAACCAGGGTTACTAGGTAAGATTTAATCATCAGCTTTTTGTTTACCACTGTATAGAGGGTGTCCCAAAACTCAACGTCAAGCGGTCACTGGGCGAGAGGTCAGGTTATATCAGTTCTGGTAAAAATTAAAAAAAAAAATCCATGTCACTGAGTTAAGTGATAATAGGCATTTTTTTGAAAATGTTGAAAATCGATACCCTAGACCACATGTTTAGGTACTGTCATCACAAATTTTCAAATTTTGGAGTGTTTTTTTTAGCGTCATCAAACAATAAACGTTATGAGTTTAGTAAAAAAAAATAAGTTTCATTGAGTCATAGCTGAAAAAAAATATGTCAGCTAGCTTTGACATTTCATATTTTTTAAAAAATGTACTACACTACTCTGGGCAAGTTATTTTAAAAGATGGGCCATATAATCAAGATTTCAAAATGGTACAATACTTGCCACTCTTCATTCCATAAAAAATATTATAACTTATTTTTTGCAAAAGGAGCTCGTTTTAAAAAAAACTCATGTCATGATAAATAATACTTTTGTGTGCTCAAAGATTGGCTTTAACATCGTGGAAGTGAGATGGTCATGTGTGATAGAGTGAGATGGATAGTGACAACGTATTAAACAAAATAATCTACCCTAACACATGTGAGTGTGTCAACTTAATAATTAGTTGATTGTTGTATTATAATAAATTTTAATCAAAATTAAACGAAACGAACTATTGTAATACTTTAATGTTAAAGTAAATGCTCAAATTGTTTGCCTTCGGCACGAATACAGGTTCTGCATCGCCTCACAAAAGATCTTTTTATCAATCGTGCGAATCTTCTCAAACTAATTTCTTCTGCTGCTTCAACAATTTTGTGGCGTAATTGGGCTAGATTTTCTATAGGTTTTGCATATACTTTTTCCTTTATGCAGCCCCAGTAAAAAAAATCAAGGGGGTTTAGGTCCGGAGATCGAGGAGGCCACAAAATTGAACCAAGGCGCCCAATCCACCTTCCGGAATATTCCGTGTTTAAATAATCACGTACAGAACGAGCATAATGCGCTGGGCAACCGTCTTGTTGAAACCACATTTCTCTATAGATGTTGAGTGGTACATCTTCTAGTAACGTTTGCAAATCGTTTTGAAGAAAATCTAAGTAGTTGTCGCCATTTAATGTTTCAGGCAACTCAAAACGGTCCAATTATTTGTCCATTTAAAATTCCGGTCCACATGTTGACTTTGAATTGGTATTGGGACCGGTCTTCACGCATTAAATGCGGGTTTTCCGTGTGCCAGTCATGTACATTGTGCAAGTTTAAATAACCATCTTTTTTAAATGTTGTTTCGTCAGTCCATAAAATTTTGTTTATAAATTGCGGATCTTCACGATTTCTCGCCAACATTGTTCTACAAAAATCCATTCTGAGAGAGTAGTCACGAGGTAATAAACTTTGTACACGTTGCACATGATACGGGTGATATTCGTGTTGCTTTAAAATTCAATGAGCAATCTTTTCGGTATTCCAGTGGCTCTTTCAATCGCACGTACTGAAGTGCTGGGATCATTTCGAATTTCTTCTAAAATTACGTCGTCATCGTCTCCTTGAGGTCTTCCACCGTTCGTACGAGCACTAGGCATTCGTCCTTCGGAGTATGCCAGGTGTACATTGACGAACACGCGGTGATCTGGGTGACGCTCTAAGTTTGGGTACCTCTCGCGATACAATCTGGCTGCGGCAGAGGCATTACAATGGCATTCACCGTAAGTAAGATGCATATTCGCATATTCTTCCGCTGTGTACAGATACGGCATGTCGCGAAACGTGTTAGTTTTCTAGGTTTTAAATCGAGTCCAGGAAATAAGCCAGGGTCGTCAACACAGATGCAATATCAAGTCCAGGGTAACACAAGCCAAAGTCGTCAGTACAAAAGTTACACGATTACGAGAAGATGCACAGTAAACGAAGGAACGTAGCGTACTAAATGATAATAACCAATGATCAATAATAGAGCATCGGCGTCACTATCCGTCTCGCTCACTCTAATTCATGTCGCACAGCGGCACTATCCATCTCACTCTACCACATATGACCATCTCACTTCCGCGATGTTAAAGCCAATCTTTGAGCACACAAAAGTATTATTTATCATGACATGAGTTTTTTTGAAACGAGCTCCTTTTGCAAAAAATAAGTTATAATATTTTTTATGGAATGAAGAATGGCAAGTATTGTACCATTTTGAAATCTTGATTATATGGGCCATCTTTTAAAATAACTTGCCCAGGGTAGTGTAGTACATTTGAAAAAAAAAATGAAGTGTCAAAGCTAGATGACATTTTTTTAAGCTACGACTCAATGAAACTTATTTTTTTTTACTAAACTCATAACGTTTATTGTTTGATTTGTGACTGCAATAAATAGCATGGTTATTTATGATAACGTTAAAAAAACTCACTCCAAAATTTTAAAATTTGTGATGACAGTACCTAAACATGTGGTCTAGGGTATCGATTTTCAACATTTTCAAAAAAATGCCTATTATCACTTAACTAAGTGACATGGATTTTTTTTTAAATTTTTACTAGAACTGATATAACCTGGCCTCTCGCCCAGTGACCGCTTGACGTTGAGTTTTGGGACACCCTGTATATGTATGTAAGTCATAGTTTCCCAAAGTGGTCCCTAAAGCCCTCCAATGGGCGCTGAAGAGTCCTCGGGGGCGGTAGGGCCTTGAAAGTAATTGCGGGTGTTGATGCTGTCCAGAGGGTGCTACCGCACTTGAAAAAATCCTGAATTATCTATATAATCACTACACTTTTTTTTCTTGTGACTTTTTGTGTTAATGTAAAAAATACGTGTTTTCAATGTTTTTTGGCGGTGGGCATTGAAATTTTTTTATCTTGCCTAAGTGGGCACTGAGCCGAAAATTTGGGAATCTATGATGTAAGTCCTCATGATCTACGTGTGAAATGCGCGCCTGGACGTCGAATTGCGGGCACCAGGTCGTTACACCATACCACCATAATTCCTAATGAATTGTAGATGAAATTTTGTCATTGTCAATTTTTTCCAGATTGTTCGCTAAAGCTCTACAATGTCCGTCACAAACAAACAATGAGTCAGGACCATCTATGGCGAGTATGAAAGAATCTGAAAAAACACCTCTTGCGTCGCTCTACGGCGCCGTTCAAGGTTTAGCTGAACTTGGACCAGAAGTAGTGAAGGCAAGCCTTTTTTATTGCTGATCGTGCACACAAATACATGAATTTACAACACAATCGTCGTAATAAAAACTATGTACATACATATATTAAGACTTCTTTTGAGAAACAACTCTCTACCTGATCAGTCACAACACAAAACGAGCCCTCCAAACACGCAGGTTTGCATTATGCACAAAAATAGGCACAATCTTAATTTCAGCAGCTATTCTTGTGCAGGTGTTCATATTACCCCGCGTGAGATGGCTCGGCGAGCGTTTAGAAGGCGCTTTGAGCGGAGTGGGAGGCGCGGATCGCTTAGCAGCGGGTAACCTCAAGCATCAACTTCTTAAAGTCTTAGCGCCCGTCGTACGTCAGCTGAGACAACCGCCTGACGTTGCCGAGGATTACAAGTAAGTGAAGCATGGATTGTTAAAATGTTTAATTAGTTACTTAAACATTGTACGGACAACAGAACATCAGACTACACATTTTTGTTCGAAAATCGCCTCCATTGCAACGGAACAAGATACGTCAATGTGTAGCTTGATGTGTTGGCCTGTGTACATAAAGGTATTTTTTCTTTATGATAATTTTATTATTTATCATACTTAAAATTTGATACATTACCATTTAATCAATATAAAACGATGAGAAAAAACACAAGGAACGAATTAGCATATGAGTGTAGACACTGATTGATGAGGTAATACACATTCACGGCGTGCGTGCTGCATTAACAATGCACGCCACGGCATCTTAATCAGATTAACGTTGCGTGATCTATACACGGGCTTTTATCGAATTACCTAGTTTGATCGAGCTTTATAACACTGTCTGCACATAATTTGTTAAAACCTTAATGTCTAGAATCTTGGGGTCAAGATGGTCTTTGTGATGCCTTTTGTGATGTGATGACTTTTGTGCAAAAATATTTATTAAGTTAATGTTATATTATAGCTTATTCTCTATTATAGTTTGGCGTTATAGCCAATGCCCAAAAAATAAATATGAAAATAAAAACTTATTTTTTTTGTTTCTTGCTTATTTTATTAGGATTAATGAATACCTATTTAGTAGCAGTAGAGCTCCTTATGAAAGAGTTCATCTAGGGAAGTATAGCCTCCTTACCCATTTCTGCCGCCCACCAGTAATGTGAGCATTACTGCGTTTCGATTTTGAAGGGCATGGGTGCTGGTGAAATTACAGACGCATGGGACTTGTCAACTTTGTGTCTCAGGATGACAGGCGCAGTGGCAGTGCCTCTCAGATTTTTGTGATTTAAAGTTCTCTTTTGCGATCTTAATAAATTTTATTTTGTTCATGGTAACGTGGATGGACTTATTTGTCAACTATATGCCGTCAATTGCCCCAAAATAAATACAGGGAATTCCCTAGTTTAAGATCAGGTAATTAGTGTGGTTGTGTGGCATATTATTTATTCAAAAAGTCACTTTCTCAGTTTGATTATTTGTGTACTTGAGTTTTTGCGTTCAAAACATCTTGTCCGGAGAATAATAATAATAACGCACACACTCAACATATCCCCGCACTAGGGAAACCCTGTGTCGCGGGTGCCGTGGACACACATAGACAACTACAAATTACACCCAAACTCAGAGAAATAAATGTAGGCCATACAAATATTTCTCCCAGCCCGGGAATCGATTCTGGGACCTCTGCGTAGCAGCCTGTAATGGTAACCGTTCGGCCACGGAGGCAGTTTATAGGCGGTGTACAGATTTAAGATACGGCCCTCGTTATTTCATAATGCCATGGTTAACAGGCGTGAATACGGCTATCTGGGTCCGAGCCTGCAGCAGATGGTGAGCAAGTTGCGCACGTCACCGTCCGCTGGTGGTAGTGGCAGCGCAGTCGCTGTGGTCACTTGCACCCCGCCTCTAGTCCCCACAACACCTTCCCCCGCGTTCGTCCAAGCTCCGCAAGCTAAGGCTGTTGGTGAGTACAGAGATTGTGATAACTATGAGAGCAGCCGCACAGAATTTGAACTGCTAGCGAATCAGATACGAACATATAATGTACTAGTTCTTAGTAACCCGTGCGCGCAAGGTATGTTTCAAAACGTTTATATGTTCTTGGCAATTTGTGAAAATAATTAATCTGTAATCAATAAAATACACTGAATAATACAGAAACAGTGGCTACTCGCAACGTGGTGATCAGCGCGTCGCCAGTGCTGCAGACACCAGCGCCCGTCACGCCACCACCGCAGAAATTCGTCATAGTCTCGCAACAGAAACCACCACAGGTATTTTGTTATTAATATCCATTGCAATTATGGCACTTCCTCTTGCGAACGGCGGCCTTACCTTTTTTAAATAGTATTTTTTATTAAGACACTGTTTCCTGAATGTTCAGGTCCAACCAGTCAGCGGGCCCGGTCATATCATGGTCCATAGTTCGCAGCCAACTTTAGTAAGAAGTCAGAATGTGCAGGTATGTCAGACGTAGTTCGATTGTACCTTCCAAATTCTTCCTGTATGAAATTTTTTGTATGAAGCATGACTGAGTAATTTTGAATCAGTTGTAGCATGAATAGGAGTGAATTAGTAATGCATGATAACTGGCAATTCCTGTACATTGAGTAAATAAACATACATAATATTGTCCAGGTAGCTGCTTTGTATGTACCTGGTAACTGTAGAAATACACTCTAAGAATGTATGATCGAAGTTTTTATAAATAATCCCCTGCCAAAGTTCTGCATGGCACAGATCGAATGCTATAAAAATCTTAGATGATGTCTGCGCGCATGTGAGATGCGAGTGTATAACTAAGTTTCTAGCAAATTTGTAAGAGGAAATAGGTTTTACACCGTTGTGCATGTTTGTGCATAGTCGGTGGTGGTGACGAGCGGACCGCCGGCGGGGCAGGCACCGCCGCAGAAGGTGGTGGTCGTGGGCATGCCGCCGCAACAGGCTCAAATCAACGCCGGCGTCAGCCAGGTGTGTTTCTTATCTAATTATTAATTTTCTATATTGATAAGAATCCAGAACACGATATACAAATTACCTCCTGTTTTGTTAACATTTCAAATGTATTGGACAGATTTTTATAATTTAACTTACTTGTAAATCGGTTATCTGTTGAGCAATAACACGCACGAAAGCCACTTCAAAGCTTTAAAAGCATGTAGAGTGTAGATGTTAACTAATCTATTTAAGTTACATGGAATAGCTCTATTAATTATATAAAAAGTCTATTTATACTACAATAGCAACGTTTGTTTCCGTGTAGGCACCCGTCTCAGTGGTAGCGAAGCCAGTTTTCGCAAGGGGTGGTGTTGCAATTGGACCCTCCCAGCCACAACCTCCACCGCCTGAGCTGGACGATCTGTCACACCTCGCCTGACAGGCACCACCACGTTACACTTTAGTCATCAAGCAATACACTCGAAAAAAAACGTAACTTAACTATTGTCAAAAGGTAAATCGCAAGCCGAAAATGTGTTTCCGTTAGTTGAAAGTTATTTATATAAAAAGATGGATATATATCAGAAGTTTTGGAATGTACAAAAATGTCTAAAGAAGTAAGACACTGCACTTTCCGCCTTAGGTTTAATTTAGTTCGCGGCAATGACCAAATACGTAGTTTATTGGAATGTTTTCGATGTTTTGCCACGAATTGTTTGAAATTTTATTAAGAAACCATATATAATTAACAAAAGTTTGTTGTGGTGTAAAATGGTAGTAACAATGTACACCGTTGGGAGCTGTCGTGATGAAATAAATCTCCCGTGAGAAATAAATCGATCCTCTTTCTTCAATGTTCAACTTTGTTGCTCTTATTAGTTACAGATATTCTATCTAGAAATAAAAAAAATTTTCTTCACAATCACCAGCTAGAATACCTGAAACTTGCAGTATAAGATCTTTTATATCCTTTTATATCCTTGTCACTTATTAAAACTATAGTGAATAATGAACGCTAGGATTTTATTAATGTAAATTAATTACCATGTTCAATTGCAGACCACGGAAATTGCCTTTGATTTCATTGTGTAACTGAAAAATCTCACCACATTCAATAACAAATAACTGCCACAGGCAATGAAAGTAATGACTGAAGTTCAAGCTACTATAAGTTAGGTTATATACGTATATTTTGGGGATATTTGAATAATTACATGTTAATACATAATATAGGGTCTAAGTTCGTAAGAATTTGTTTGAAATCCTTTCTATATTTTAAGTGTATGAATCCATAATGTGTTAATAATATCTGCAATAACTAACGAATAGCAAATTGTTACGATTTTCAATGATGTTTATAAAGAGTAAAGGTAATAATTTATATAAGAATAAAGGTAATAAATTGGAAAAAAAAGGTTCGTTTTCCTTACATTTTTGCTTAGAGAAATACTAAAACAGCACGCACAAAGTACGGTCGGTACAAAAAGTATACAGATTGTACAGTCAACATTTCTAGATAAATAGCCCTCACGAATGGTCAATACAGCGGGCCATTGTATCAATACGATACGAATAGCGCACGATTCAAAGGGTTCGATTACTGGTATAGTTGCATGGGAACGGGTAAATAGGCACCGAATACTCACATAATAGGCAAAATGCTCGGTGAATGAATGCCCACTCGTCTGAATTGATAAGTGGGCTGTGCCGCTCGCGTGGGGAGCTCGTGGCCGCCCGCCCGCCTACTGTAGGGGAGTAATTGGGTATCTATGCCTACAACTCCAAGCTCTCTCTGAGTCTATAAAATAAACGTTTCATGCGTAATTGGTTGATAAACTTATGGCAGATTAATTTGTACCGCAGCTGTTAAAAATTTGAATTTGTAAAGCGGGTTTTCCCCGGCTGTTAAAAAAAAGAAAAATTTTAACTTGATACATGTTTACCTATAATAATAATATCAAAGAATATTTACTGATAATAAAAATCCTTTTATACGAAGTGAGACTTGCAAGGATGGGTTTACACGGGACATGTCTCGATTATGGCAACTCTCCAGCACGTTAACATAATCAAATTATACGTTATGGACATGTCTTCAATTAAAAATAATTCAAATTTCGAATTCAAATATTTCTTTCAGATAAAATCCATATAGAGTTAGTAAACCAAACAACTTAAGAACTAGTGCTAGTATTAATATTATTATAATTTGAAAGACTACTTATACATTTAAGATAGTGTGGCGCTCTATCCACCTACGCAGGAGTGGCGAGTCCCACCGATCTTTAAACACACACGGGATGCCGTTGCAGCTATCACGGAGGCGCCTTAGCACAGATGCACACCTTTTCCTCATGATGGCCATGAAACGTCCATCTGAGCCTCGGCAAACATCCCCGATGCACTACACCTCCACGGAAGCCCCATCAGCACCCTGAATGCGTTATTATATTGAACAATAATATCGACAAACAAGAAATATTTTTTTGTCTGTAATATGCTCGTGAACAATATTTATAAAAGTACTGAAATGCAAATATTATCGGTAACATAAAAGGCGTCATCTCATCTTTGACGGGTCAGCGTTGGCGGCGGCGCGCTCTGTGTTGTCCGCCGACGCCGCCTGACCACTGACCGCGTTCTGCTGCCGCCTGCATTCTGTCGCAGACGCACCCCGAGCGCGCTCACCACGCTCATTTCGACTCTCCCCGAAACGACTCGCGATATTTTCCCGCCAAATAATTCGCGCGCTTCCTTTTGAATTTTTATTCATTTTCCATATAATTTTTTAAAAGTTTTTAAACGTGAAAACTTTAATTTTGTGATGCGCTGTTTCTTTGTGTTCTTGGTTTTGTTCTTTGTGTTCTTACCGGAGTCCAGTGAGGCGATTCGATGGCTGTAAGTATGATTTGAACAAAAAATTAGCACATTTGATATTTATTATCAATAAAATTGATTTAGCATACTTAATATGGATTCTACTAAATTTTTTACCTGAGATTATAATTTTAACATAACATTTTATAAAAACTTTAAATTTGTATAAATATAATGTACATTCATACATAGAGTACATTATATAGGTAATATAACTATACATTTTATACATTCTTACGTTTACAAATTCAAATTATTACAAATTAATACAAAAAAAGTATATGAAAATTACCTATTTCCAGAAAATATTTAGAAACGTTTTTTAATTATTGACATAAAATATATTAAATTACTCTAACGATTAATAAATCATAATGGACTTCAGCTAAAGCCATTAAAACGGTCTCAAGTAAAATCTCCACTAACCGGGGCTTACATATTACCTACATCACACAAAAAGCTAATGCCCCTTAATTTGCATCAAGTCCGAAGGAATACGAACTAATATCTAACAGGATAAACAAATTAAACCTGTAAGAATGGCACTAATAAGCAATGCTGTGCTATTGTCAGAATATTTGTTCAAACGACCCTGTCTGCCCAACAACACTTCTAGGCGGGCCCATTTAAAAAAATAGTCAATATTTATTTAGATTTATATATTATTTAGATGATATCCTTCGTTTTTAGGAAATTCTAAGGCAACATATTGATGCAGAAAGTAAGTAGTAAATTTAATGTTCAGCTTTGAAAAGTTAACTAATTAACTTAATTTTCGATATTTTTATAGATTCCTGATAATATCGACGTTTCAAAGCGAAAAAGGGTTGTGACCCTTATGTCGGAAATTCTTCTAATTTTTTTACCAAGATAATAAAATTAACGGTGCGCTACGTGCTACTAGTTCACAATATTTATTTGATCTTCTATACAAACTTTTTTTGTATACACAAACAGCAAAATTAATTTTACGTAAGTTATACTGTAATGTATTAACAGCTACTTTTGCAATACTATTTACTATTACGTAATAGCGTTACCACACGACGTTTAAGAAGTCTAACCTAGGTAAATAACTTTAAATCAACTATTCACCTGCAACTTTCTATTCGCGCAGGTTGCTTGCAGATACTCATTAAACATCGCTCTAATGAAGACAGATAACTTTGAAATCTGACATAACGTCTGATGGTAAAAGCTTACGGGTTTTCTATAGATGTACTGCAATAATTTTTAGGCTTCTTGTGTTTCGTTTCATGACGTTGGTGTGATTTTGTTATACGTTTACTTTGCGCCTTTGACCTGCCATTCATCGTCATCATATATAACCCAATTATAGGTAACACTATCGGGTACTCAGGCGAGGATTTAGGCCTAAGGGTCGAAACACAAAACTGTGAATCGGCTCGATGCGAATTCGCAACGCAGAAAACTACGACGCGAATTGCTGCGATGCGATTTCGTGCGGCAAGGCATCTCACTGCATGGTTCGGGTAACCATTCCTTCGACGATCATCAACCGTACTGAACGTAATTTTTAAACTAGGTAGCGACATGGATCATAAATAGAGTGTTGTACTGCTGTTATTGATAAGAAAGCACGGAAAAAAACACAAAGAAGATTAACATCGCAGGAATGCGCGATGCGAAGCAATTCGCAAATTCTTGCAATGCGTCGTGCGAGCTCGTAGATTTCTGCGATGCGACGTCGCCAATGCGGGTTCGGGATTTTTTTTACTTTATTGGTTCATTTACGATTATTATAATGTAACATACTATAAATTTAATTTGGTGAAAATTTTATCTAAATTACACAACTACTTAGGAATGAACACAGCTTGCAAAAACAACGTAAATGTTAATTAAGTTGAATTTAAAAACAACAACTTAATTTTTTAAATTAAAGTAATACAAACAAAAACAATAAATACAAGTGAACAAGGGTCTTGGACAGTATCAAACTAGATGGGGGAAAAAAAATTAATTAAGGTTTAATATAATACTATAACGAAATTTGTGCAGCGACTGCCAAAATATATCGCTAACGTGACTGTACTTATCATAGTATGCAGAGTCTTGGGACACAGGAAAAGCCCAGAACATTCTTGCGGAATGGTGGTGGTGACTTCACACGTTTTCCGAGGGTTGTTAACTTCTTCAACGTGCAGGTTTCATCAACATGTTTTCCTTCACCGATAAGCTCATGGTAATTTCAAATTAAGTTTCCCACATCAATTCCGAGACACTCGGAGGTGCGAGCCCGGATTCGACGGCCTCTGCCTGAGAGGCAGTAGGTCAAATCCTTACGCTACCACGATTTTTTACCTGCCATTGGAATACGAAGTGCATATCTAAAAAACAAATTGTTTCACAATTCAATCCTAAATATTAATAAAATCTAGCCAGTTAAATCAAAATACTACCTAACCAAACATGTATACAAAATCTTCGCGAGCAGTTATTGCGAAGAATAAGGAATTTTGTTATTAACCCTCATCGGGTTCATCAAGAAATTCATTTTAACTTCGTCCATAGAAAATCAATATTTAGCGATGCGTTTAAACACCGCACCTAGATATACGGTCAAGTGAATGACAAATCCTAATTCAATCGGTAAATACAAACTCAAATCATTTAGTCGAATACGATTGCACAACCAATTTATGAATGGCTTTAAATATACTAAATAAGTAAGAATTTACTGCCTACCAATTTTTGAAAATATTTGTACTTTCATCAACTGTGTTTTATTAACTCAATTAAAAAAAAAGAAAAAATTTAGACAAAAAAAAAACTTTTTCTTACCAAAGCTAAGTTTAGTTAGTTTTATTAGCTTAAGTTATTTTTTGTTAGTTTAAGCTTTAGTTTATTTTTATTACCTTAAGTATATTTTGTCATAATTAATTTTTATTATTATTGTTGATTACTTGATAGTTGGTGTAACGGGCTGGTGTCCGCAACTCGACGTCAAGGCGCCTATTTTGCGTGTAGATTATTGTTATTTATTACCAATCAATTATTTATGTCCATTACAAACAATCACTACAACATTTTGAAACAACTAACTAGCCTTAAGAACGACAAAAGAGGCAATAATTAATTTTTTTTTAATCAAATCACTATTTCAGGAATTGTCCATCTCAGTATCTTTGAAGGCTGATTCCAGATTACAATGGCCTATTAAGTACTACTTTTTTGTATTCTTATCAAAATCAAGAGTCTAGCGGTTTTTAAAGTTACCTAGGAACTATAGAATTACATTTTTAGATTTTTAATTGAAAGTTGAAAATTTAAAGCTGACTCACTCGAACGTGAATTCTCCGCTTTAGATCAAAACTTTCGTGGCTTCCATTGATCTTACGATGCTGATTATTTTATGCGTGAAAGTACAATTCGTACAGATAGTTACAAAACAAAATCTCCAAGCCCAAACCTTCTACAAATAGAAAAAAAATTTTTTTAGCCGATCTGGTTGAAAATTTCCATAAATCTATTAAAAATATCATAACTCGAAAACTACGATAAATCGCGGAACATACATGGGAGTAATTCGGATACCCCTCAATATGAGGGACCTAAATTTTACTTTTGGACATCACTTCTCTCTCGGCCACCTTGTATACTCACGCTCTTAGATTCCCTTTGGGATAGGCAGAGACTATCGCCACTTAGCACGATCCTCTCTTGCGTCACTTACATTCATCAATATTTTCATATATGTATAGTATCTTATTCTTCTCATTACACACCTCATCCTTTTTAAGAACACTTTCAATTTGATCTGAGAGTGTTCTTCGTGTCCGTCCTCTTCCAACCATGCCTTCCACTGTAGCTTTATATATTTCTTTCGTTAATCTACATCCATTCATCCGCTCCTTGTGCCCAAACCACCTCAGCATACCATTTCCTATGTTTGTCGCTGCATCCTCTTTCAAACCACGTCGTTAACAGATATTCTTGATTCTGTCACATGACCGCACTTGACATATTTTTCTAACAAGTAACAAAATACTATTTGTGTTTAAAGTTAGGCGACGTCGGTGGCCTAAAGATTTAGGGCTCAATGCCCACAATGTTCGATTCCCAATAGGACCAATTTGGGAAAATAACCTGGTTTGGGTGTTCTGGGAAGTGAGCCAGAATTCCGTTGCTCTGGTACTCATAGTACAGGGAATTCCCTCGTTTGAAACCAGGCACTTGGTGTGGTTGTCTGGTACATATTAAATTACACAATCTGAGTAAAGGGTAGACTCAACTACGACTTCAGTAACAAAGAAGTAGCATAATGTGGTGACTAGCTGTGTCAATAATATTCTGTATAATATAATAAATTTCGTGCAGGCCCAAAGTGTGGCATTCCATGTAAAGTTCTCCCCAGTTCATCCGATGCGCTCCCTAATTGAACACTGCGCTAATGACCGGCGTTGTTGCAACCCGCAGTTATTTGCCCAGATTACAACCCGGAAATAAGTAGGAAATCCGAACTGCCGTCGGACCTGCCAATTTGCACAAATTCCACGTAACGTTCATAATTATCCCATGATATTTACACACATTTTAAGCTCTTATTACGAAATGAGGACGGTGAAATATTGTTTTTAATTTTTAGAGTTATAAAGAGAGGAAATCGTAAAAATTAATCCCTTTAGGATTACGTCGTAATACCCGTGATGGATTGGTTAAATCTATTCTGAGTATTTTTAAGAGGGTTTTCAAGCAAGTAACAATTTGTAATGTTGCTTTTTCTTCTTCTTTATGATTATTGTTTATTTTCTTTTGGCGAAATTTTTGCCGAATGATCACAAATATTTTATACCTATCCTAGAATGTATTTAACTATAAACCATTCTTAGCACACGAAAACTTAAAACCTTTTGAAGCTGTCAGTCGTCTAAATTAACGGCTTAAACTTTATTTAAAGTTAAAACTTCCCTTTTAATATAAACCTGTCAGTCTGGATTCTTTGATAGATTTAACAGCCCTCCCGGCGTACTTTAATTTTATAGAGCGGCGGAAATCTACCTGTAGTAAAAGAGAGAACGAGAGAGTTTATTAAATTTCACTTTGTGTGTGATGTTTGACTAATTAAGTCTCAAGATTTATGAAAAGAAGAAGTTTAATAGGTAATTTATATAAGACTTATTCTGGGGAATTAGTTTGTACGTAATACGATATTTTACAGTGTATACATTAAAATTACAAAAGACTTTTAAATACGATTTTGCGGTTTAAATGGATATCACACACTACGTGATTAGTAAACTACGAGTATGTCGTATGTAATATTAGGCTCGATATATAAGAATATAATTGAATAGACCGAACCAGCGTATAATTAATTGATTTGCTCGGCTGACAAATTAATTGGCGGAATTAGCGTGAAATCCCAGGACGTGCTGATTATGAACGCGACACGCAATCTAAGAACAATGGTATAAATAAGAATAACATAGAGAAAATGGAAAAAAAATGAGAACATTGAAGAACAAAAAGACTGCAATCAATCTTACAAATCCCTAATTAATTCAAAGTGGACATTTTCAATCACAATTCATAAAAATAATGATGACAAACGACGTGTATTAAAAGTTTACGACCAATAAAAGAATCTGAATAATGCCTCCGTCTAATAAGTATGTTTGTCCGCTTGTTTACGATATGAGCCAACAGTGTCCAGCACTTTCTCGTTTACCAATCGCCTCGAATTCCTATGGTATGTTGTTATGACGCATCATTACCTTTATGGCAAAGATTTGCTTTAAGGGCAAAACTTGGGTCAGACATCTTCACCTTTTGCAGGTAAGTAAATTACACCTTCTGCCTGCGCGAACTAATATGTTCCCATAAAACTATTACAGTTCCGACCTCAGTGTGGAGCATCCTCGACTAAGTGATTCCCGTGAGAAGAGCGGGCTCAGTTTTCGCTGAGTTAGCAAGGGCCGTGTGTGGCAGACCGAAAAAAATAATTTCCTTCGCTCGAGTTCCCACTGTGACTTTTCCAGGCGGCCGTCCCGTGCATCTGGCGGGATCTATTATTAGGGGACGGCTCTTAATGCTTTCTTAGGTATTTTTATATGGCTACCCGTCTTAGTTTTTACGATTGTGATTTTTATTGAATTCCCTCGTCCTAGCTACGTAGTTACGCCGTGATATGCCTGCGGACGAAGGTGAAATACGAGCCACTTTGCCAGATTTATTTTATTGCGGTGTGTTGGACACACATTTCTTTAGATTTTATATTTTCTACGCGACGAAGGCTGTTTTGCTCTTTTCGTTTAGAGCGAAAACGTGTTGCAATAAAATGTGATTGCGGTAATTCTTTTTGTGGGCTCAGCCCTATTTATGTTTGTACTAGCGCTATTTGTACAAAAGTAAACTTCAGTGAAAGCCCACAAGTAAGCCGAGCGCGGAGTCCACTTCGGTGAATGTAAAGGGCTTCGAGAGGCCCAACTTTGCCGTGTTTGACTGTAACTTTAAATTAATTTAGATTCATGTCCTGCAGGTATAAAATTAACCGAGTGTACCAAGCGTACATTTAGACAATACTGAAAATAATTTAAAAATACAAAGCGTAGTTTTTTTTATAATAGCAAGTGACGAGACGAGCAAGTCGCGCTACTGGTGGTAAGCGACACGCCTATCCATAACAGTTGCAGTGCTATTCAAAGCTTTAAATCGCAAAGATCTTATGGGCACTGCCACTACGCCCGTCACCCTGAGAAAAAGTTGACAAATCCCATGTGCCTGTAATTTCACCAGCACCCCTACTTCTCTAAACCCGAACGCAGTAATGCTCACATTACTGCTTGGCGGCGGAAATAGGTAAGGTGGTAGAAACGTATATAAGTGTAAATAACCTGAGAAATAACGTTAGAGTCTGGCTTTCATTGATTCTACATTTCTACAAATAGCTTTTAATTCTCACAGTATTGTGCGGTTTAGTGTTTTCGCAATAAATCTTTCGTCGAAACTAACGACTTCATTCTTCAACTGGTTTTTTTTTTTGCGAAGGAGCGCGCAATAAGTGCAACAAATCGCTGTAGCACGATTCATTTGATCTGACACGAATTTATCCGCGCCGGCCGTGCTCAAGCTTCTTATTTACCCGCCAATGTTCACTTTGTCCTCGCAAATTCATAAATTACTTACATCCTTGCTGTCGTTCAGCTCTTATTTTGTTCTTCTTGCTCAAGCGTATCGACGCACTCTTTGATGTGTGCCTCATTATTCAACTTATTTCGATAGAGTATGTATATTTATAGTATCATTACAATTTTAAATGAACTAAAACGAATAATTAAGTTCCATTCAAATGTAAATTTTTGAAACTTCGTATTCTTTTGACAGGCTTGCGATTAATATTCTTAGCAGCTAAATAACTTTATTAAGTTCAGTTTTCCTGTGAAACATCTACTTACTTAAAAGTTTCACTGTAGTTCCACCAACAAAACACCAAAACTTAAGTAAGTATGTATACGTAGGTATATACGTTATTACCAGCAGTCGGATTTGGCTGTTGCAAATTAGTAAATAAGGAAAGCTTCATGCTATACTGAATATTAAAATTGGTATATTTAACGGTAAATTTTATACAAATTAACAAATCTATTGGGTAATAATTTAAGTAATGATACCTAGCTAATAAAATAAAAAACTAGTGGTTGAAATTTTTGGATTTCCAAACTATATTTATTAAAAAAAAATATTTTATTTAAAAAATTTTGGAGGACGTTCCAAATGAGTAGACAAATGTCTACGTATAGATATAAGGAGAAACAGAGTAGTACGTGTGAAGTGTTTCAAAATCTAATAAAAACCACATTATTATCGCCAATTCCATTGGATGAACAGATGAACGAACATAATGCTTGAATTATTTACACTGCAATAACGCAATTATTTGCGTTATTGCAGTTTAGGAGTACTAGATACAGTGCCGTATTAGGTAGCGTTTGTCGCACATAAAATCGCCACACAGAGGACGTTAGCATAGACTTGATGTATTTTTTGCTGAAGTTCAAGGGGCGAAAGTCATTTGAGTCCGCGACGATTAAAGTAAGTAATGGATGTATTAGTAGATTTAGTAGTAGTAGAGCTCCTTGTGAAATAATTCGTCCAGGAAAGTACTGCTACCTTACCTATTTCTGCCGTCAAATACTAGCATTGCTGTGTTCCGGTTTTGACGGGTGAAATTACAGGCACGTGGTATTTGTGAACTTGTCTTAGCGTGATGGGCGCTGTGGCGGTGCTCCTCAGGTCTTTGCGATTATAAGCTCTGAGTGACACTGCAACTGCATGTCACTTACCACCACGATTTGTTCGTCCCACCACTTGGTAGCATAAAAAAATCAACGGATTGTAGTTTGGATACTAGCCCCCATTGTAAGGTCTAATATAACTGCTATTTTGGAGTACGCTGTCAAAGTCACTTCAAGACAAAGAAATCTTAATCGAAATTAGCAATATATCTAGCAGAAACTTAGTTAAAAAATGTTCATTTGGGGATTCATTTTTAATATACGTAAGTCAATCTCTACTCTTATATAGATAATTATGACAACGATTCGGTAACTGATTACCAATATGTGTAGGGCGCTACATACCTTTCTCGTAGGGGCGCTAAAAGCTACGAAGGATAACTACGGTACGTCTCTGGCTAGAGACGAATTCGTAATTAGCGCATAGTGGCGGCGCGGGCGGGTAGCGGAGCGAGGGGCGGCGCGCTGTCTGGCGTTGACTGACTCACGCGCGGACTTTCCGCTAGACACCTATATTATTACTGCAATAAAAAGGAAACAATACCTGCTATGTGAAATTCAAATCGTGCGAATAGCCTGTTGGTTAATATAATTCATCAGTTGATGTGCCTTTTAAAATACATTCTCTATGTATTCTATGGCGAAAGTGTACAAAAACCTAACACGTTGATAAAACTTTTATACATTTCTAAAAACAGGGAAAATTAAACAAAGTAGTTGTCCATACTCAATTATGTCAAATTTAATTATTATTGAACTGATATTCAATTATTTTTTGTGAAATTACTCCACTAGTTATTAATACAAAGATCGAACACTTAGAAAAAATTCCTTCGATCCAGCCGGATTCAAACCGACGTCTCCTAGCAAACCGTGCCAGACCCTATGCCAATTAAGCCGCGGAACGAAACAGCGGACCTCAAGAATTTTTCTATGTGCTTGTTGTCGGATCTTTGTATTTGGTTTTCAATGTCATTTCAGCTGTAGCGCCATCTATGACAAATGTATGAAAGTATTTCGTCACCCAGTTTTTTCACCTTTACCTACCAGCCCTGGCTAGAGAAATAAATTGTGTAGGTGGTCTTCCAGTTTTAAAAGCCAATCTTTATGAAACCGGAAGACCACCTACACAGACATCAAAACAATCTCGAAGAAGTAGACTTCTACTAGAAGGAGGAAACGTCTGAGGCGTAAATTATTCTGAGGGCTTCTAATAGCAAGGTTGTGAGACATGGACCTCCGTGGAGTGGAGTAGGCATCTCCTTGTTTGGTAAGGATCGACGTCGCATAGCGATGAGAAAACCCGGAGAGAAGCGTTATGTATTTTTCGGAAGAATTACGTCGTACGGTGGAGGGTCTGTTATATTTTGGGCAGCCGTGATTTCCTTAGACCGTACAAAGTTCGTTTTGTCAATATACAACGATTATACCACGAAAATCCTAATCCCACGCACAACCAACGCTATCTTTATGGACGATAATGCTCAACATCACCTTGCGGATAAAGTAGATGCCTACCTGACCGAGGCTCAATCTTATTAAGCATCTGTTGGACATTCTAAAGCGCCATATTAGCGCTGTACATCCAGCCTCTTAGGGTCGTATTCCAGAACTGTACTCAATGCTCAAGTCAGGATTTGTGCAGACTTGAGTATGATTTCAAGCACTGGAAATACGACCCTAATGGCAAGGACTTGAGTATGATTTCTAATGCTTTGAATCATACTCAAGTCCTGATTTGAGTATTGAGTAGAGTTCTAGAATACGATACGATACGAATATATCCCTTAGAATATCCGAAAGCTCAAAACTGTTATTACGGCTGAATTTGAGCTTATTCCACAAGAAATCATAAAAAACCTCATTCAAAGCATGTCACAAAGAATTGCAGAAGTTATCTCGGCAAGAGGGCCACACTCGATACTAATTTTCTTTTTCTTTTGTAATTATTGTTTAATAAAGAATAATTGTCAGTTAAAGGTCATTTTATATTTTGTTGTTGGATCAAGTAAGTGGAAACAAAGAGAAAAATTCAAATTAAGAAAGGCGAATTTACATACCAAAAGTTTTTTATACTTAGCGAATAATTTTATTTCATTTTGTTGTTATAACATATTATTTTCCTTCCACTTACTGCACTCGAAAGATTCTATGCCCGTTTTTTGCATTGCATTTAATTGGGCATTTAATACCTACGTATTTTGCCAATTTCGGACGTGCTATATGACGGTAGTGGCCCCTGTTGGAGATAAGGCACGATCACACTCGAAGGTCCTTTTGTGGCTTGTAAAATAACACTCGAACGATCCTTGTGTATTAAGTAGTAAGTAGTCGAAATATTTTCATGATATTTGACGTTACAAATTCAGCCAAAACATGGCCTTTGGCCAAAACGAACACACAATATTGTATTTTTTTTATAATACCAAGTGACAGCCCCGACGTTTGTTTGAAAACACTTATACCTATACGCGATTTAGATCTGAAAAAATAGTTTCATTTTCTATGTGTAATAATGGCGAAAACCTAAAAACTAGATAAGTATAATATGTAGGTACTCTTACAATGTAACTTGAACGATTACAAAATCAAAATTAATATACTCAACAACCATAATATATTAATTTAATTCCTGTTCGTAAGTGAGACATTTCGAAATGAATTTCAGAATGTAAATCCGCGGCATCCGCATAAGATTAACCTGACAAAATTTAATGGTGTATATGTTTTACTCAGACTAAACAAGTCTTTCAGATATAGCAAATAAAGCAGAAATAAGGCAAGCGATATTGGTCTTGATGCGAAACCATCTGTTTTAGCTTTGAGTTATGAGGAAATAATAGAATATAAATAAGCCAGTGGCTTGTCGCCAAGTACTAAAGTAGGTACTATTCGTCATGTTGAACCAGAACACTTGAAGCGTTTCAAGCTTAGTCTTAAGTTTCAAGTATTCTTTGTTTTTTTTAAGTTCACTGTGTTAGGCTACCGAGGTCATCACATTTGATGACCTCGATAGCCTGACGGCTTACATTGTGGGCGCTGGGTGCGGAGGTTCCGGGTTCGACTCCCCGTAGGACCAATTTGGGAAATGGACTTTTTAATTGGTTCTGGTCGGGGAGTTCTGGAAAGTGCCCCAGAGTGAATTCCATTGCTCTGGTAATCAAATTACAGGGAATTCTTTGTACGTACATAAAGTAATATATAAAGGCAATTTCGTACATAATTGGATCTTGCTCAAAGCGTAACTGACTACGGTGCTAGTCACCACTACAAAACATAAATTTATACCAATAAAATGTTACAATTGTTCATTTCAACGCAGAGACTTAGACAAATTGCCGTTGTATTGGACAATTTGTTGAGTAATCCCAGCATTTGTTTCAATTATTCCGGCTTCCTCCTTGATGGATACATTTCCCTAGATTTAAATCAGGAATGGGATCTGCAGCCACGTGTTTTGAATATACATTGGAAATTACAGCGGTAATTATAGCAATACCAGCGAAATATGCCCGCTTTGCAATAGCTTGCACGCGTAACGCATCCTTCATATCGAAGTGTTATCTAACGAGTAATGTTGTTTTAATAGTAATTAAAAAAAGATACACTTCTTAACTCTAAACTTGGTTATCTATGTATTTATAAAAACAAACATGTAAGTTAGAATAGTGAGTTCGATTAAATGAATAAGTTATTAACTTAGGATAACCGAAAAATTTTGTAAAGTGTATACTTGTATTGAACCTAAAAAAATTAACTTACTTACTTACTTACTTGAAAATGTATATAATTTTATTCTCCTATTTAGAATTCTAATTCGCTAGCTCGTGAAAATCTATTATACAAAAGATAAAGCTCCCATAACAATTAGGTTATCGCGTTCCCGGTACTCGGATTAATGTTGTCGTATTTATGCCTCTATTCAGTAAATTGAAGTCGTCTATCTTTATTATTAACAGTCAGTGATTGTACATGCGTGTGTCGAATGGTTCATAATTAGAGTATCATTGTCCTCGATGTAATGAGCCATGAAGACTTGCAGTGACGCGACGGGAGTCGGCCCTTTGCCACTGATTGTAACAAATTGACATTTCTTTCGGTAATATACCTAATTGCAGCCAAATTGCCACAGCAAGTTACTAACAAAGATCATGCAATGACGGGATGGGGGCTTGGAAATGATTCGACGTTTTGTTGTCGGCGTATAAGGTATAATTATGGTACAACTTTCGCAATTTTGAGAAAACCTATTTTAATAAGACATATTATTATTTTAAAACATTTGTGAAGAATTTTGCTATTTGCTTTTTTTTTCTAAATATAGGTTTTCGCGCAAGGGTTGTGTACTCGTTGCTGATTTGAGGGTTACCAACTAAAACGGCGTGTAACTACCGACGTCACCCCCGTTTGTGTTATACCGCCCCGCAAGAAAGTCACGTTTGAAATTTTTCTTTAAAGTCCCCTTGTTCGTTGCACGCCGGCCGGCACGCACGGCGCGACAATCATACAGCATTTAATCATCATTAAACCGGAATCAGCGCCGGCGCTGCAGCCGCGTCAGCTGTATTGCTCTCCGTAACGTGTTTTTGCTAACCGAGGGTTTAAATGAGGTTTTTAAAATGAATTTTCACGCTTACAATTTTAGAACCAGGCATTTAAATATCGTTCAGAAACATTTCGCGGTTCGCTTATCATATAATTTGTGGTGCGTAATAATTTTAAATAATTTCGCTAACTTAGAACCGATATCTGCTCGTAACATCTCTTTAGATCACGCAAACAAGAACACCACATTATTATTACCCATTCGGAACATCCCCAATTTGTGTGTGAGAAACTAAAAAATACATTGTACAATAAATTTGAAGGTCTATTTTAAAATTATCTACATTCAAAACACAAAGGCAAACCTCCGAAAGGTCGGTGGTCTTTTATGTGGCAACCAGTTACAACAAAGCGGATCCCCTCGCCCCTCTGCGTTGTTCTTTGTCTACTAGATCGAGATAGACGTGTAAAATTTGATACGGGAATTATATTATTAGATCGTAGGAACACGTGTGCGGCGTGACGAATGCGATAATGTTCCCGCCACCGGGTCCGCAGCGGAACAATTACATTTCACATGAATTAACCATAATGGAGACACGGCTACGGGAGCTTTGTGCTCGTAGCACCATGACTCGATGTCCGGAGTCAATTGCTATTGCGCCGTTTCAGCGTTGCGGTACCGTTCGTGCCAGAGAATGCGAGGATTAAGGACATTCAAGCACAAGAACGGTAGCGAATACGGTAACAATATTAGTACTCAGTAGAGCAGATAATAACGGTAGCATGTTGCATTAAAGGAGAACATGTTTACGTTACAAAGTGTTTAAAGTTAAAATATAAAAAAGCTTCTTAAGCCTGAGTATGCTGCAACATGCACGGTCTTGGAATTTTGACAAAACATGCATCTATTTACTAGAAACTTAGTAGTTACATTAAAATGAGCGAATACAGAAAATTGCCACATTTATAGCTTATTCTATTTCTAACCCTGGTATAGTCTGTAGCCCCCGCACATCACCCGGCCGTGACTGTTGATGTGACGTCGCGTGTTGATCCCCTGGCATTACACGGATATCAGCTTTCGAGCGAAACAAAGCAATTATTAATAGAAAATGCAACAATATCCGACTTCCCCATCCAGCCTGACGGCAAAACCGGCCCCATTCTGAACTTTACAAATGGATTAGCAGTAAAGTGCATACTGCATTGCATATCTAACGCCAATAAAATCAGGGGATTTGTAAAGTCTTATTAGGCGAACTACTTTGCTTGTTATTTTGTTCCAAAAAAAAACGAGTATATGTAGAGCGCAGAGTTGAATAAAAATAGCATTCACTGTTTTGGACTAAAAGTATATATACATTCAGCGCGGTTACTGCTAGGGAAACTTTTTACAAAATTTATTATTTTTGCAAGCCAGCCGTTGCCTGTCACGGAAGTAATGCATTAACAATGAGCTTACAGCCCGAGCGATCCCACCACAATATACTGCAAAATAGAAAATTGAATCTCATAAGTAAGCTCGCTATGACAACGGGCTGCACTCGCTCCTAATGCTCAACACTCTTTAGATGACAAACCAGCTACGACTTTGCGATAGGTGAACAACAATATAACAAATCGTTTAGTTACGCAATTGTTGTACTGACTCAAGCAAACCTCCCAGAGTCCTTTCGCAATATTGGAAACGGAGGTAACGCTGTCCTTGAAAGCTTGTCACGATAAAACGTCAATGAAATTTAATATTCTACGGTAACCCAGTTATTGTATCGTAAGCTGTTTATAAAAAGTAAGGCTAGTACGACATCCCTCAGCCGGCACGGGTAGTACCGCTTGCCCGCCCGCCGCCATCGCACGTAAGCTCCCTTGCCTACCAACTTGCCAACACACGCACATCTCACTCTCGATGACTTATATTTTGCACTCTGCACACTTGTTTCGTACATAAATCAAATTGTAAATGCAGTTGATGCTTTTAATGCATAAAACAGATAATTGAAAAGAAGAATTCAAAATAGACATTCATATAATAGATCATGTAAGTAGTAAGTATGTTATGCAGTAATTAAAATCTAGATATGCCATGCAACGTCAAAGGAAAACTCACGTGTTTTGGTTGTATAAATCAATAAAATATTAAACGTTTTGTTACAGTCACGCTACAAAATATGATCACAAAAAGTTAAGCTGATATTGCTGCGGCCGAAAATGAGTTTGTTCGTTGACTTGCGTCAAATCAAGTCTTCAGTAACAAATCTTTCAGAGATGGTTGATAGAATATCTACTAACGTTGGCAAAGATAAAATACCGGAGGAGGGACCATTGCCGAAAAAAGAGGAGCCAATGCTGTACAGAAGTTCTATATTCAAACCCACGTTAGGTTTTGGTGTCCGATTCTCACAGAGTCAAGAAGACATTTTTCAAGATACACTGCCATCATCTCGTCTTCGTAGCCATATGTCTCTTCCCAATCTCGGAAAATCTGATGCCAATCTGAACAGACCCTCGACACCGCGACAAGATTGTCGCCCAAAAATAATAGAAGTAACCGATGAAAGCAATGGTAATACAAAACAATTGATACAGTTATCCGCAGATAACCTTAATGAGTTAATATCTGCATCCATAAACAGACGTCCTCATTTCGATGACAGTGGAGATACCCACCCAATGGACTTTCTAGAAGCAGTGAAATATTACATTTCAGAACTGAACATGCCAGAAGAGAAAAAACTACCATTTATTATATCGTGTCTGGATGGAGTGCCACTAATGTGGGCACGCTGTTTCAGAAGCGAGTTTAAAGATGTCGAAAGTTTTTACATCACTTTCGAACAAGAGTTTTGGGGTCAGGACAGGCAAAAGACGGTTTTGTACGACTTGAAGTTGGGAAAGTATGGTGAAGGGAGCACGCAAATGAGCATGTCCGAGTATTTTTTGCACAAGGTCAATAATTATAAACATTTAAATCCGCCGCCGTCGGATCTGGAAATCGTTTATTCTCTGGCAGCTCATTTCCCTTCAGCCGTGGAATTAGAATTACGGCTGACGCCGAAGCCCACGTTGCGTGAAGCGTACCGCGTGCTACGCAGAAGGGAGGGTGAGGCAGCAGACTTCCTTCCTAATTACTTGTACGAAATGTGTGAAGCGTATCAACGCGGACAACGGCCGGAGTCTGTGAGGCGCCACGTTGGAGAAACGCCACGAGATATAAAAGAAACTAAAAAATAATATGTATCTATTATTGTACATGTATTCTCTAATATAGGCAAACAAATTACTTAGTACTTAGTAAATGCATAAAAAAATAATGACATCAATGATACACTGCCACTTATCCCACATATACTATCGTAGCAAATAAATGTACGATTAAGTCACGTTTAATAACACAAAACAATAAATATTTTAAAAATGGAATTTGGCTTTTATCTTTATCGGCATCAAAAAAAGATACACATTTTAAAAACTTAATAAATTTACTTAATGCTCTTGACAATTGGAAGATATACCTACCTACAAGTTCAATTATTCTTTTAACACAGAGCTCTATATCAAAGCGAGGGTAATTGGACAGAGAGTGATTGCGGTGAAGCTCGTCGCAGCAGCGCGCTATGGAGCGGTCAGGCGCGCGCTTGTCGACGGCAGCCGTCTGCCATGCCACACGTAGCAGCCGCCGCCAGGCTCTCCCGCTCAGCCTGTCTCGCCGCGCACAATGGGGATCGATGGAATTGTTCCTCCATCGAGCTAGCACCCAAGTTCAGCCCGGATTTACTTACAGGTAAAATAATTTTGGAAAACTTACTGACAATGCAATTGACCAACGACGATTAAAATTCGAATATGTAGGTACATACTTGGTTTTATTAGTCAATAAACGTCTCGCATATAAACTCTCTTGTACCTATGTATTTCGCTAAAGTTTTTTACACTGTGTACCTACAGGCTAGAGCCGTTCTGTCTAGGACGGACAAACCCCCGGTAATAATGAAAGATAAGGGAAAGCAAGTTTGTCGAGTCTTTTAAATCAGTGGCGAGGCATTGTGTCGGTGCGGCCGGCGTAACGACAGCGCCCTTTCTTCCAGCGACGGACGGTTGTTGGTTCCGCACCGAGGACTCTTTTTATTTATGTGTCACAACCACATTTTATTTATCGCTTCGCGGGCAATTAATTTTTAAATGAGTCTGTTGTTTCCCTCATTTAAATTAGTAGACCCAAATAGATTTTAATTGTTTTAAATTTAAATCGTGTTGTAATTACATTGTTAGAATTACTCAAACACATTGCATTTCACGTGTAGGACACAATATGTTGTCGATTATAAAGCAATGGTAAGGATTTAAATAACCGCAAACGGCACGCAAGGATTTCCTAATTCGATACCGACACGAACCACGCTGAGCTGTCGTTGTGCGCTGTACATCATTATGTCGTGAGTATCGTGTCGTGACGCGACCGACTATGTGTACCTTATTGATCTTTTACGTAAACTAGTAAGCGAGGAAAGGGTATGTTATGATCCTAAAAGAGCAATAGTCCAAAAGCACATTTAACATTATGCCAGATTTTTTTCACTTGTAGCTAATATGGAATAAGCTCTAGATGCTTTAGCTTAATTGAAAGAGATTGTATGAATCTTAATTACAGTAGCCTTATCAGACATGTCGATCGCCTTTTTATTCATTTTCTCGTCGTTCACAATCAGCCTGCTTTGGCTGCGACAGTGTTTTCTCTGTCTAAAAGTTAGGAAGGGATAGAAAAGAAGGCAAACAATGGGGAAGTTTTTCTAGTTTCAGCGTGGTCGGCGACATTGTAGTTGGCAGCCTCGCCGACCGGATGCCGACTGCGAAATATGGACCATTGTTTTTCGCCGCCACTTCAGCGTCTCTCCACTTTAGGAAATTAATTGACACGGAACGTCCTCGGTTACAAACAAAAACGTTAGGAATCTTTGAGCACTCCCGGCTTGATACATTTTAATTAAAAGTTTTGCGAAGCGAGTAACGTCTACGCTGGCTGCGGCAATGAACATAGAAATAACATTTCATTATGACTGTAAGTAGGTGCTTCTAACTAATTTTACTTTTAGTCAGCGTGATAAAAACACGTTTGAGTGGCTCCTGAAAATAAAAGTTTTTCCGGTTTGGGCGTTACAGAATGTTACAGATGTATAAAAGTTTTTCCATTCTTAAAAGTGAAACTTCTTATAATTTGACTTTGCTGTTTTAAAATTGATGCTTTGTAATCTTATCGTTAAGTCCTTCTTCGGTCGTAACAAAAGTTTACAACGACTGAGTGGTTTTAAATCACTTCGCAAATCTTTATTGATGAGGCGAACGTTTTTCCAGAAGACCGCGTAAGTTATCTTTGTTAAGTATAGAATGCTATCGAAGGCCTTACAATGCGATCAGCGGTGAGGGTTGGGAGACGGACAAAAGATTTAATTACACGCATGAATCAAGCGCACAGTTCAGGGGTTGGATGCGGGGTGCGGTGGGGGTTGTCAGCGATAACCGTGAGCAGTGCACCCGCGCGCGTTCCGCCGTCTGCTCTGAAGCCGACACAGCGATCCGGTATGTGATAAGCCGGTGGCATTGTTTAGCGAAACTGAGGACGCGCGTGCGGGCTCTATCGTGATTAGATTGCCGTAAAAAGGATTAATTTTAATGTCCATCAAGATACTTTTTTGCTTTGATAAATAGCCCTTTGTTTATTCTGTGGCCTAGATGTTTCTTCGTCGCAACGTTTGCTATTTTTCATTGTTCTAATCGCTTTATCGGACACGAGAGAGACATTCATCAAAAACTAGAGTTCACTAGAATAAATTTATAACAGATAAAGTACGACCGCCTATTAATCATATGATCTGTCTTCTTGTTGTACTATCTCTATTTTTCAAATTGTGCTATTTGTTTATCAATGTCAACCCGAAAAGGTACTCGCGAGCAAGCGTACGTGTACGCGATGTCAGCGGCGGCGCTGGCGTGGTCGATCGCACGTGCGTGCGCCGCGGGCTCGTTGGCTGCATGCTCTTGCGCAGCCCCCCCGCGCGCGCCTCCCCGGCCTCCACGACAGGCGCAAGTGACTCCCGCTGAACCACATGCCAGGTTCAAATGGGGCGGCTGCGGTGATAATTACCAGTGGGCTGAGAGGTTTGACTAATGTGAATTTACTCGTGAGATTGCCAAAGATATAGAGACAGTCTGTGTATCGAAGCTAAGGGAGATTCGAACTACATTTATATTACATATTCCAGACAATTCCATACATAAAATTTTCATTATAAAACTTTTATAATGCAATCTTTTCAAGTATATATCCTCCTGGAACATTCAAGGATAGCAACTATTTGTGTTGAATCGTCTGAATGTGAAACACAATTTCTAGGTTCGCAAAACAATTCCTCGACACACATGAAATAGACGTACGCGATGGGAAGATAGAGAACCTATTTGAAGAATTCGAAACAACGAGCACTGAGCCTACGACGACTTCCACCGTGGAACCCACTACTGCCGCTCCTGTGGTGATATTAGTCGATGATCAACCCGCACCAGCCAATACCAGCGTAGCTCCCAAAAAAGCAAGAAAAGGACGCAAAGGGAGGAAGAGACTGCCAAGGTCGCCTCGACGAGGCAGACCTACGAGAAAAAGGTTCAGATCAAGGTATAGTAATATAATTGAATTAGATTATGTATTTATACCCGTTTGTTCTCTTATATTGGATGGATATCGTAATTTGCCCAAAAGTTTCAAGTAGATAAAATTTTACCTACATGATAATCATATTGTGGATCATATTATTACGATTATGAATACAAGATTAAGCACACAGAAAAATTTTCGTGGCCCCGGTGGGACTTGAACCCACGTCCATGCTGCACCATAGCATTGCTGTAACCATCTGAGCCACAGGACCAGTTACAGAGTCGTCGAAATTCTCCTATGTGTTTTAGTTATAGATATTTGTACTGACTTTCGGTATTCGTCACCGTAGCCTAAAATATATTTATTATTATTATTGTTATTATGGGTATCTATTTTAGACTCTCGCCTCTACTATGGCCTAAAGAATGAATTTTTAAATGGTAGAGGCGGTATACCCCGGCAATGGCACAGTCCGCCGGGGTTAGGTACTCAGGTTCAAGAACCGGCGAACAATACGTGGCGTATCGAGCAAGACGGCCTTCTGCATTTGTGCTAGATGCGACACGTCAAAGAAATCCAATTATATTATTAACTATATTATTTATAGTATTACCTTACTAAGTATTTCTTTGAATATCTCATAATAATTGTAATAGTCTTTATTTGACATAATACATGGTTTCTTAAACAATATTGTCTGGAACCTCCTTATAACCTGTCAGGAGGCGCCGCTCTTTCTTAGCTACACGTTTTAAAATATACATGACTAACCAACTTAACAAAATAAAAAATATTACTACATACTTACAATGTATGATACATCCTTACAATCCTCTTATTGTGTGTGCGTGTGAGTGAGTGTGCGTGCGTGCGTGCGTGCGTGCGTGCGTGTGTGTGTGTGTGTGTGTGTGTGTGTTTTTAAGAGTGGCGATCTAGCAGTGCCTCAACTTCTTCACATGTTTTTCCCGCGAGCCATTTAAGTATCTCATATGATATAACCCTATGATACTTCAAATTATGAAGTTATTAATTGGATTTATAAAAGGATAGAGACTATGAACTAATTTCGTAGTAAATGCAAGTGACGTTAAAATGTTTAACCCATACGACCCCGGAAACATGTAATACATTACGTTAGAATAGGTTTGCAAGCTTGCTTTACCAATTTACTAATGGAATAGAATTTATCTACCTGTATACATTGTTGCGTAATTATGCACCTAAGATATTAAGTACGTCGTAGAAATGCCCATATTAAGTTCGTGCATACCAAAAATATATGGTCGCGGTTGCCAAATTGTTAGTTACAAATTGTCTCTATATAAAGTCTCGAAGCATTAGTAACTTATGCTCGTACCGTGTTTTTTTTTTGTTCAGCGTGTGCCGTTGAAATGTGCGACAGTAGGCGTAGCCTGACTTTTGTTACCATGTGTACAAGAAACTTCCGAATCCAATTTGCCTTTTTCGTTTATTGTATTGAAAAAGTTAATAAAAAGTTTTACAAGGGAATCTATTGTACCCACCCTACAAATTGTTCTGCTTTTGTACAATTTATAATATTACCCATATATACCTAGGTCGAAATTACAAATGTAGAAGCTAGGACCTGTAATGGCTATTACAATATTACTAAAATTTGCAACAAAATTCATAGGGATATTTCATCCCTTACCCGATATAATTTATTCACCAAACAACTAAACGCTCATTTGATAAAAAAATTTTACTATAGGCACAAGCAGTATTTTGTAGAATGACTATACCGACTTACTGTACCTACCGCACCAAAAGCCATTATAACGTCGGGGATAGTGCAATTACGCGTAACTAGCATTGGGTAATGAGTTTCCATTTCGGTAATTTAGTGGCCAAATCAAATCCGCGTCAATGTCGTGGCCAACAAATTAGCGTTATTTACGGGAATTTGTTGATATGAGTCCGTAGACAACATAAATTAATGAGTACTGTGCAAAAATGAAATTCGTAGCCATTGAAATAACAAAGTAATAATACTAATAGCGTTAAATCCCTCTCCTGGAAAACATGGTTTAGTGCAGATACGCGCCAATACTATGGCCACTTACGCGGACTTGCATTATCTGCGACGATTATTTTATTCTGTTACGTTACAATTTTTGTTTTGCTATTATTATTTTTAATTTATTCGTTTTTATTTTCTTTTATTATTACAATTATAAATACACTCCCGGACACATAATTCGAGCCAAGGTCGCTAAGGTAACACATGAAAGCAATATAAATTTTGACTTTGTTTCACCAGATACGAATATGAAGACAGAGGATCTCGCTATCGCAACATTGAGTATCGCATGGCTGCAGACGACCCACGCTTCGACCCGCAAGTGGACTTACGAACGCGACTTGAACAACTACGTTCCCTTATCGCTTCTGCCAATTTGATCAATTACCGTTTTGGAAGAAAGGTAAACACAATATCATGTTTTACTAAGTACCTTAACAGATTGGCCAACAGACTCATCATATAATTTGTTTAAAGGTGAGCTGGACATATCTCTTTGGGTAGTTCGCATAAGTATACTGTTTTAAGTTCTTTCAATGTATAACTTCGTATTACATAATTGTGTTCGTGCAATAGATAGATAAAACGTTTATTCAGCACAAATACAAGCAGCAATTTTGTACTGGTCATACTAAATTGCAACAGTTTGTGCTGAAATAGCCCTGACTCATCAAAAGTACTGTAATATAAATGTAGTACAAATACTGAAAATTACCCACATAAAATTTTGATTGTAAGTTGAACTACTTGATTTTGTAAGGGGGACTAAAACTTATTTCAAATTACATGTAAAATGTATAACAATTTTGTAGAGATTCATATTAAAAATGCCATTATAGTTTGGATGTAGAACAGAAATATCGACACTAGTACACCAAAATTCTATCTCTGAAAACAACTAATAGGTACCAACTTGCCAAAACAGCCTTTGTTTCCAGACTTCCACGTACTCCATTTGGAGGCAAACAGAAAATAGAGTAGAGCTAGTTTATTTTTTTATGTCGTAAGAAAATTACGTGTACATAGTAAAAGCAATCGATTTTTTATCTTACAATGTCCGATTTTCCAATCAATACAAATCAACATCTAAAACTAAGATATGATAATTTCAGCTGGTATCAGCAGGGATGCGTACGAAATGCACATGTCACGGAGTATCAGGTTCCTGTTCAGTCAGAACCTGCTGGCGTTCTCTACCTCCGATAGCTCGCGTGGCTGCGGCATTGGCCGTGGAAACATCGCGAGCAGGGCCATTAAGACCTAGGCGACAAGCACGAAGAGCCAAACCCAAGCTGAGATATGTGACACCAAGTCCAGATTATTGCGAACCTGATCCGGCAGCTGGGTCACTTGGCACCCATGGAAGGTAACGTTTTATTATAAAAGTAGAATAGTATTTTATGCAATCGTTGCATACTTGGTACTTGGTATAAAGGGCTGGTTGCATAATGACGATTTCCTTAAGTCGAGTTCCGTGTTTAGGCCACGACGCTTTGCAGAGTGGCCTAAGTATTAGGTAGAGATTTTAAGATATGATTATGTAATGATTGCATACAATACTTTTTATACGAGTAAATTATAATAATGAAACAACACAACCAATATTTAAAAATGGTTTGTTTACAATTCACTACAACACAAACGAAAGCCAAACAAACGCTACAAAACATAATTATAACTTTTTTGTTACAAAAAACCGACCCCAAAATTTCGTGGAATTACATCTATTTGCCAAGTTTTATTGAAATCGATTACCGGAAAGTGCGCAAAACTAAATTCATTCCCTAGTTCGCTACCATTAAGGAATATTTAGGAATAAGGAATATGAAGGAATATTTTCTTCAAATAAATGAGCTCAATAAAGAAGTACCCCATATCATCAATAAGTAAGTAAGAAGTTTTTTAACAATAAAGAATCATCAAAATCGGATCATAAATAATCGCGTAACATGTACAGTCATATACACAGGATACTTGACCCCCAAGCCGACTTCGTCGACCTTTTCGTTCTGAGCACAAAAATGTGGAGAAAATTGTTAAACAAACTTAATCTTTAACCCATGAGCCATAAAATTTATTTCGGTGTAACTCCCTGGTCGTCTTATCAGTGAATGACATTGTAAGAAAGTTTTTAAGCCACTTTGATCTTTAACGTATAATTTTTACTTAAATACAGAATACAAATTTCAACCAGCTATAGTAAATAAGGCCGTCGTGGCCTAGCGGTATGAAGATTGCTTTGCAAGTTGATGCAAGCATGGTTCTAGTCACATTAATAAATATTATTTAGCTATGACTATATCATATTGTTTTTACTTTTTGTTTTTAACATCTGAATAGGTCTAAGGAATGTGTAAGTCTTGTTCATACAGAACAATAATTTGTAATTTTAATAATTCCGTTAAGCGCGGCATATTAAAACAAGAAAGAAAACTTTGAAAGTAATTAAAACTGAATAGATAAATGGGAACGAAACATGGAACAATGCATAATCACAGAAGACACGATCGTATGTAAACTGCAGAGCGATTTCGTGATTTGTTAATCTATCCAAACCAACCCTAAGCTTTATTTATAACATCTACCCACCCACCATAGGCAATTTCTAGTGAGCAAATATTGTGATTTGTCAACGTTAATATTAAAAAGTGAAACAATGCTGTTAAAAATATAACAACATCATCAACCCTTTTAAAAATATAACGTTAAAACAAAATAGTGCTCGTGGAATCGAACCACGGGTATTGTAATTGGCAGTCCATACAACAAGCCGCTTGACCAATTCACTTGGACGTTAAGTGACGAAATTTAATATTGGTTTAAAAATAAGCTGATCATCTTCAAGCAACACTCCACTGTATCGCTTATGCAATAAAGTTGAAATTGCTTTATTTTTTTATTTGTCCAACACGTAAGATAACTCTCAGAAACAAAAGGTCGGTTTGGACATGTTAGGGGGTCAGTCAACCAACACAAAAAAATACAATGGAATTGAAAACCTCCTCCACTTTTGAAGTCAGTTAGATAGAATAGAAAGAGAGGCAGTAGAGCGTTTGAGTAGCGTCATATTTGACATTTTATATTGTTTTTACACTGTTGTGTTTTTTTGACAAATGGTTACGCCTTTGTACCTATTATGTAACATTTTATAAAAAAAATATTGAATTTTAATAATTTCACAAATATGTAATAATACGTAATAAGTGACGTTATTCTGTTTAGAAACGCAGTGGCGCCTTTAAGGAAACTCTTTTAATTTGCAAAAATACGACGTTCTTTTTCTGAAAGTCATTATAGTTTTGCGTACAGAACTATAATGAATTTTTTCAGTTCAGTAGCACGTACCATAGAAGAAACAATTTTGGTTCAGACCTAAAAAGAGCGTCTTTGTGATATGGTTTGGAAATTATAATTGACAGATTAGAGTACAGGAACAGAAAAATGTTTTTGTACTATGTTCGCCGGCGAAAATAATCTATAAATTAAAGGCTCAACGGGTAAACTTATATGAGAAAACGGAAAACTTTTCCGTATCGTAGTCCAATCGATTGGAACATCTAACAAGCCTTAGATCAAATAATAGGGAGCAGTTGTCTAAATGATGAACAAGACTTTTCGAAGGAGAAATTATTATAATCTCAGTACAGAGTACTAAAAAAAAGACCTCAAAAGTTCGTAGAATTACATCTTTTTGCCAAGTTCTATTGAAATCGGTTACCGAAAAGTGCGCAAAACCGGATTCATCCCCCGAGTTTGCCACCTTTAGAGGTGGAATATTTTCTTCAAATTTAAATGGGACCAATACTGAGAGACTAATACTCTTTCCAACAAAAAAAGAATCATCAAAATCGGTTCACAAATGCCGTATCGCGTAAGATACATACAAAAAAAAGTACAGTCGAATGTCTCGTGTCTCATTGTCGTATTCTAGAAATTTACTCAATGCTCAAATCAGGATTTGAGTGTGGATTAAAAGCACTCGAAATCATACTCAAGTCCCTGCCTTTAAGAGTCGTATTTCCAGTGCTTGAAATCATACTCCGATCCTGACTTGAGCATTGAGTAGAGTTCTAGAATACGACCCTGAGTCTCACGTGTGTGAAGTCAATGAGAACCTCCTCCTTTTTTTGAAATCGGTTAAAAAGGACGCTTAAACTAAAGTATTAGACATTTTTTATCAGATACGAAACGTGGAACTCGTACACGCTTAGGCCCAATTTATATTGCGGCGGAACGGAGTGGCAAGCTAATAGATAACGACAATAGAACATAAAGTTCATTATGCTATGTACAATGTCGTTACAAAAATTCGCTTCCATTCCGTTCTGCCGAAATATAAATTGAAACTTATCCGCCGTGGCGTATATGAAGCTCCAACAGGATTAGACTTAGTATTTTTTATTGATAAATCCGGACAGCGCGCGCCGTTGATCGTTAGTGAAAAGACCGGATATACATACATGACAATCCAAGTTTGATTAAAGTCAGATTTAGACCTTCGCCATGCTGCGGAGTAACAAAAGAGTAAATTCCTCTATTGACAACACAAATTCCTCTAAACATAGTCAATACATTTTCGCCACAAAGTCCAAAACAAAAAACTCAATCTTTATTTCATAGGTAAATAAATAATATTTGAAAATCTGCTATTCATTCCATTGACTTATGATTCATTCGCATCTTTCGTAAGGATTCCCATGAGAAGAATGAGTAAGAAACTAGGGGTTGTGATGTGGAATCAGCGTGTAAATCTGAAAACAAAATGCATTTTTGCGTTTCAGTTACTTTGTGCTTAAGATACGAGTTTGAGAAAGTAAGTGGTAAGCTACACGCCTGTCCACAACAATTGCAGTGCTACTCAAAGTCAGTATTTATTTCAAGTATCATAGGTAGAAGCAACTTGTAAGAGCAATTTGAAGTACATACGTAGAAGCTGTATAATGTAAACATTTTATTTCACTATAGTTTTAAACCTCGAAAACGGGGGATTTTGAATATCAACCTTTTCCATCCAATTCAACTAGACGCGGTTCCGATATATAGACGTTTCCTCGTGTCGATCAATCGTCACGATAATCAGATCGATCCGTCGTTACACCCTTGGCGTTAAAGTTAATCGTTAAGGTCATATACATACACTATCGATCAAAACGTCGGCAAATATAAATCAAACAAACATACACTAACCGTCGGCTAAATTTACAAACCTCGTAACTCCGTTTTTGGAAGATATCCCTCTTCAAGCGTAATATCGGGCAATTAAAGCTTAAAATAAAATTTTTACATCCTTTTATAGTCATAAAATAAAGGTACAAATAAATAGATAAAAGTAAATATTATAAAAGTAAATAGATTGTCATAATTAATCATTTCTAGCAATTCTGTTTTTTGTGACTACTCAAAAGTCCATTAATATAGACTTTTACGGTAGGAACAAGGTTTACGCATTTAACCGACGACAGTCGATTCGTTGTTTCGATCAGTCTGAAAAAATGGACCGTGAAGACAAATCGTTCGGTATATGGAGGCCAACATACAGCATTTAGGAAAAATCGCACTTGCCTTTTTTTTAGAAAATGCAACGCCAGTCTCGGCAATGCAATCGGGGGATGCGGACGACTGTGCTGCGGTCGTGGCCGTCGCCTGATCCGGTCGAGCAAGCTTGAGCGCTGCCATTGCCGCTATCACTGGTGCTGCCGCGTCGACTGCCAGCTTTGTCGACTTACCACTGATGAACATTACTGTAACTGAACTTAGTTATTTTTTATTTTCCTGGACTCAGATTGATTGTGTATTTTCCGCACTTGGTATGTAAATTTTTTTATGATCTAATGTGTCTCAGCTGTAATGAACTGAAATACCATAGCATACTTAAAATAACAAATACAGTGAATATTATTTCCCTGTGAAATAAAAGGCAAAAAATCTAAATAGTAATTAAAAATATATTATTATTTGCAATTAGAACACTTTTGTTGGTATGTGTACATAACAAAACTACAACACAATAAATAATTATCACTAATTACAGGTTTCTTAACCACACGGCAAGATTTCTTTTTATTTTCCCGATATTTTGGAACAGTTATACGCTCCATTACCGTCACGGGTTGACAGCGCCAGCGGTAGATGGCATTTTAAGAACAGACAGTTATTATCTGTCTACCCTCTTTCGTTACCGATGACTATCTTCATCTCGGTTACTTGTGGGGTTACCATTGTCACTCACTTTTTCCCGATAATCCCCACTCACTGTATCTACATGCGAAACTGGAGTCAAATCATTATTGTTGTAAGCACTTAACACCGGATACCACACTCTAAACCCTGTCTTCACGGTACAACATTTGGCATTTTGTGATGTCGATGCCTTCTCGTACCAAACGTACGTATAGTGACGTCCCGTCGACAGTGCTTGGTGGCTATACAGCTCATTCCAGTGGCTAGTATCATTTTGTGCAAGACGATATTTTTTATAACTCAGATGTGTTCCTTCGTACGGTTGACAATTATCTGTATGGTCTGACCGATGTACGAGCTCCCAGAATTCCAGTTCGTAGACTGTAGGAAAAGGAATGTGGTGTTTTGGCGAACGCAAAGGCTTTCCTATTTTATTTTGAGGTTGTCTATGTGTATGTCCATGACGCCCGCCGCGACACAAGGCTTTCCTAGTGCAGGGCTATGAATGTACGCGTTACGATTTAGTTTAAGGGAGTTAATAGTTTTTATAGAGAATTTCCTTAACCTGCCTGTTTTATCCGGTACCATGGTACAGTCAAGAGCACATCAAGCTTGTCACATTGTACTCTGGACCGTTCTTATCGTAAGCGGCATACAGTTGGATTTAAGTATGAAGTGTCAAGCTTGACGTGCTCTTGACCCTGTACCATGTGTACATAGGACAAAAATAAAAAGAAATCATACCGCGATAAGAAACCTTTACTTAGTGATTAGTTACACAATAATTTCGGGATTTCAGAGAAAGGTATTATTAATTTATGTGTATTACTGAAATGTGTAGGTAATTTATATTAGTGATGCAAAGAAAGTGTCATAACGGAAACACATGTCACAAGTAAATCTTAGCGGAAGCGAACGTGCAAAAACTTTAAAGGTCTACAAAATAATTCCAAACAGGATTTGTTTTCATATTTGAATTTTTCACAACACAAAAATGCTAAAAAAGCGCGCCCCAAACAATCAGCTCATCGGCTCATCCGTTTCGAATGTTGTAAACTTAAAGTTCCGTTATGCACAAAACACAGAAACAATACGGAAACATGTGAAAAAAATGTGCGGAACTTCCGCTGTTGCATCACTAGAAAATATACATTGCCTATTCCGATCTCTTATGAGATAATTTTTTATGTATCCAGTCCCTTTTAAAATCTTGCAGTAAACTTCACTAATTCATTAAATGTAAATAACTTAGAATTTAGGTTTAGATTGCTCTACCCATTACCTAGTTATTCAACTATTTATTTATATAAATATTGCGTTTTAAAAATAGGCAATTTAAATTATATTGTTTAGAAAAAAATATAAAGTTGAGGATGCCTCGCACTACACTGAAACACGATTCTCATTCGACGACGGTCGCGTAGCGCGAGTTGTCCTTTACGAAACATAGTACACATGTATACCAAAGAGATAAGAATATACAATAAAATATGCATATATTCTATACCAATACGTTAGATCCCTCAAGTACAGTTATGAAAATGAAGGACAAATTTAAAAAGTCAGCAGCAAAAGTAGCTGATCATTTGAAATTATTCAACGAAACATAGATCCTTAAATAAAATCAAAACGTATGAACAAATCCAAAACACCCTTAACAAACCCACTAATACCCAAAAAAACGCTATAAAAACTAACGATAATTCAATAGACACTAGTCAGTTTAGCTAGTTATGTAAGCGATGATGTAAATCTTCTTTAATATACTTAAGAGTTTAATAATGTAGAGTAGGAATTTTGTGAATTGACGATATACCACCTATCTTGTTATTAGTCCTTAATACTTAGAGTTTGGTATAAATGCTTTTCCATAATCAGAAGCCCGCTGTGAAACATCAGACAAATTACTACCATTTAGCATACATAAAAATTACGACTGTGGGCCCTAATTAGTATGACCCGCATTCTAATAAGCAGATATTCTAATTGTGTAATAAAGCGGGACACTCACTATCCAAGTAACATTAGGAATAACAATGTCCCTGCAATTATAAGTTTGCGTAATTCGGCTCTCCAACACGGCCAACATGTAGGAGAGTGAGTGACTGCAAAATACAATTCTATTTTTGTTATGTGCATTAAAATCTTTGTATTACGGAGAATATTGTAGTTCGCTCAAAAAAGACGCAGAAAGCGAAATCTACCCGGCCCTCTACCTATTACCTATTACAACTAAAAAGCATAACTTAAGAACAAGAACAGGCAACACAAACAAGATACGAGTATCGCCCATTAACACCGAGAATCCTCTATGCACATGATGCACGGAGAAAGAATCCAAATATTCACTACAAATTAATTACACAAATGCTGGGACTCTGTTCGACTAACGCAGCAATGAAGAATTACTATATCGACAATAAAGTATTGTAGTTTTATTCGACATACAGGGCGCCTTATACATATTGCTTCGCACAAATTGTTAGTTGTAGTTTTCGCTTTTATAGTATGTAAGTTGGATGTAAATATTCTCTTGGACTTAAGTTTTTTGATATATTTATTACTTTAGAAATAGAGGCTATTTTTATTTATTTCTCATAAAAAGTTTAGTTATTAAAGAAACAAACAGAAAAACAATTGATTAAAATGTAAGTTACTGTTTTCATTCGAAATAACAAAATAGTGTAAAGTTTTAGCCACGTCCACCTCAACTGTAAATAAAATTCGTACTTAGAATATAACGTGTTTGTATTATGCCCTTTGTAATAATATAATGTAATGGTGGTGGTAAAAATTTTATAATATAATGGTGTCCTTTTTTATACACTCTCCTTGTCTGGTAACGGGCAACGTCGATTTATGCTTTTTGTATACTCTCAGCAAATTCTGAATGCAAATATTTGAATTTATTACATTACCTACTTCTATGTTATACGTTTAAACAAAAATAAATCGCCCTATTTATTGCGCTGCAATATAGTATAAAGTTCTAAATAAGCGCAAATATAACAATAGGCAGTAACACTTTAGTAGCGCACTAGCGTTTAAATAAATTCGTGCAAATCTTTTGTATGAGAAAACAACTGAGGCGATACATTCTTAAGGTACTTTAAAGAGCACATCATTCTTGACATTTTGATCGATCTTATCGTAAGCGTCACAATGTTGAATGTAAATCTTAATTGACAACTTTGACTCCGTATAGTCAACAGCAAATTAGGCTGTACACTTTTGTTCGAATATCGTCTCCAGTGATACTGAACAAGATACGTCAATGTGCAGCCTATGTCAGTACATACACCGTCTGTACAGTCATATACACAAGATACCTGCGTCCTGATTTTGATTCAAATCGGAACTGATCCGATCGGGTAGTCTCGAAATTAGATGGGTTTCTGAGCGAAAAGATCAATCTGATTCCTACAATATCTTTCTAATTTGTGAGTTAAATCAACTATTGTTCCGATTACAAATGTCAAAGTTTCCGACCGGCCAGTTGTGAATCGTAATTATGCGCCTCGACTCGGAAGAAACGCAGTTTCCGATCGAGAGAGGCAATCAAAATCATGACGCTGACCCCCCCCCCCAAGCCGACTAGGACGACGTTTTGGTTCTGAGCACAAAAATGTGGAGATAATTGTTAAACAAACTCAATCTTTAACCTGTGAGCCGTAAAATTTATTTTGGTATGACTCCCTGGTCGTCACATTAGTGAATGACATTGTAAGAAAGTTTTTAAGCCAATTTGATCTTTAACGTATGGTTCTTTGTACTTATACAGGGTTACAGGAAAAGTCGTGCTAGATCCGTTAAGGGCGTGGAGTACTCATCATTTCTGACTTATTTTACTATAAAACACCGTACCCTAAACTTAACCCTTTTCGAGATATTTGACGTTTATTTTTTTTTATTCAAAATTGCCGATTTTTAGGCTACTAAATTTAATTTTGTTTATTTTGTGTGTCTTATTATTATAATTATTGCATTTTTACATGTGTGATAAGATGCTTTAGGACCTCAATCATTAAAATAGTGAATAAGTCAATTCAATACGCCGTAGTAGAAAAGAGAAAGTTAAGAAATTAAAAAAAAAATTAGAAAGTTTATTTTTCTCTAAGGGATATCTAAAAAAATATTATGGCAGTTGATCGGCAGATAAGTTATAAAATATCTACGTTTCATCAGCTATCTAACAAGGTATAACAATCTAGGATTTGTATTGCATTTCGTGGAAAAAAAAGTAGTTGGGACGCTCCAGGTAGCAGTTCTAACGGTCCCGCGCCTATTGTCCTTAAGTTAAGACGCACCGTGCGAGTGAGACAAGCGACGGTTTATGTAGGTGCGAATGAAAGAAAAAATATTGTAGAGATATCACGGGATATTGTTTTGTTTGTCAGTCTGCTTTTGTGCTTCGTACATAGTAGATGTGATATCGTTTTGCTCTTTTTCTTGACTTGGCTGTGATTCTGGACTGTTTTTTCCGATTTGTGACTACTGTGCTTGTTAACCGGACTTTGATTTGTACTTGTGCTACGGAAGTGTTGAAGATGACGTCGTACACACCTGAGGAATATGCTGATATGCTTATTTGTTACGGATACTGCGATTGTGTGTCTGCGCAAGCTCGCAACGAATACATAGCTCGATTCCCCGGTCGTCGAGTGCCGGATGTGCCTGTTTTTGACAGAGTTTATCGGAGACTTCGAGAAACTGGCTCTATTTTGAGACGA